ACGCTTCCAGAAGAATTAACTGGGATAATTATTGAGTAATTGAAATCGTTAATGGGAATTCTTCGCTCCGCTTTTAATTAAGCGCCAGGTTTCCTTCTTTGCTTGTTCTCTCGAGCTGGCGCGCGCGCATCTCTTCGCAGAGATTTCGTGCTTGGAATACTTCCAAACTATTCCCTCGGCCTCTTTTATTGTTCCTTTTCAGTTTCATAAAACCGGGATATGAGCGGATATAACGAAATTCCGCATCTTCTGTGCCCGCATGCAGGTTGCGCTGCGGGGAGGAACAATAGCGGAGATGCACATAAATTACAGACGCACGCAATATCAGGCCAAAATGTCGTTATGTTGCTTGAAATGATTCTCATAATGCCTTGAACTGAAAATCTTCAGAGATATAAAATTAAAAAAGAAAGCGAAAAATATATAATTAAATTTTTCTTCAAACCGTTTTTAGGATAAGCTTTGGATCAGTGAAAAAGTTCATCTGGTTAATTCTGTTTTTTTTTCTAATAAAATTGGAATAATGGTTTATTTTTACTAGTTAGAAGAAGAATTTATATTAATTTAGATTATAATTTGCTGCGAAAGTTACTTTTCGGCTCAATACCAAACTAGCCTCCATCTTAACTATGATATGATTGGTTTATCTTAAATTTCATGTGAAAAGATTAAAAACGACTTTTCCAGTAATTTAATTAAAATTGACACTAATAACAAAACATATATTTGCTTTACTTTCTCAATTTAATTTTAAGCAAGCTTAGCAAGCATTGTTGCCTGTATTTCAATAAAGGAGACAGTTTAGAAATTACATAAATACTGGTTTTAGCTATATTTAGAATAAAATCCAATTTCCACGAGATCAAATATCAAACTTCATCAAAACGGAATGGAGCAAAATTAAGTGATCCTCTAATTGACTTTTGATTTGCACTTCACCTATCCGTGTAGTAAATCTTCTTGTTGGTACAGTCAGATTCAAGTGAAATCAGCAGCAATTTCATTAAAAGCAAAGCAAATTCGCTTAAGAAGTTAATCAAAATCTGTTCGAGCGAAAAGCCGATTCGCGAAAAGCCTCTATTTTCCGTTTGCCAAATAACACACGCTGCCGTTTTTGCAATGCTACACGAGATCTCTTTGCCTTTTCAATTCGGGCGGGCGAATTAATTCGTGCGCTTGCTTTGAAAGGCTGTACACCGATCGGGTGTCAAACAAACGGACTAATTATTCGCGTTTGCAAAAGCGCCATTCAACCTCGTAAATTCACAACAGCGGACACAACGGCGCTCGCTTTTGTGTCACGGAATTCTCATTTTTCACCCGGTGAAAGCGAATTTCGACAGACCTGCAGAGGTGGAAAAATTTCTACATAACTAATCCGAGGCTGAAAAACTTCACACAAGGACGAGCCGAATTATTATCTCCATATTTTCTCTCATGAATTATTTAGATGGCGAAGCAGGTAAGTTTAAAAATCCACCGTCCCAGGCGACATTTGCATAATGGCGGAATTGAATCTGCCGCGTGCATTTCGCATCAGATGAGCTTAATTTATTGCTGCGCCACTACGCCTTCTTTCGGGGAAATGGTCTGCGCGACTCTGATAACTTGAACACATGCTTAGTGCATAAAATATCAAGTGCTGCCGGACAGAGCTCGTAAATGTCCCCGACGCCAGTTGGCAAGATAAATTTTGACCGCGCCCCAGAAATTATTGTTAAGTTTCGTGCCTTATCTTGATGGGGGTGGTTTTAAGTCTTTAACATTTACTGCTATAAATTTTGATTACATTTTTCACGTCTCGCTTTGTAAATTTACATATTTGTGCAGTTTTTTATATCTCAATTATGGTCCGATTAGCACAACAATTAGAGCAAATTTTAATTGTTTACAACCATTCTGATTTCTTATTGGTGGAGCTCAAACAACGATCAAATCGGGTTTCATTGTGGTGATATTGATTTGAATCAACAAATCTTGATTGATAATTTAGAAAATTAAAATTTAATTTTAGATAAAATTATTAAAATTTTGAAATTCATTAACTTACAAACAAACGTGTCTGCTGAACTTATTATAAAAGCTCTAACCAAGCAAACTATTGATTTTATTTTGTAAATTTAAAAAAAGGGTTTAAAAGATTAAAAAATCCTCTCAAAAACCCGGTGCCAATTTTTATGCATTACTTCATGATATTAATTTGATATTTTCCAATTTGAATTTTCATCTTTTTTTAAATATTGAAATAATTTCACTGATTGTGAATGAAATCATTTTAAAATATACAACTCATTAAAAAAAAATTTAAAGATACAATGAAAACCTTGTTAATTTTGGACTTGTTAAATTGTCGAATTCTGTAATTTTAGCGTTTCGCTGAATTTTTTAAAAATGAAATTTTTCATTTAATTTCAAACACAAAATTTAATTTCTCCATTTTCTAATACAGACTAAATAAACAAAGTTGATCAAATTTTTGAAGAAAAGGGAAATTAAAATTGTAAATTATTGCTAAACTGAATTTTTGCTAAACCAACAAGCTTTTACGGTGATGAAAAATTTCCAAGTGGTATTTTATATGAAGATAATATTTCAAGAGCAGACGCGGAATTAAAAAGAATTGCAATCAAGGTATAAAATTGCGTGCCATTATTCAAGCGGGCCGATTAGCAATCTTGGCTCCGCCACAGAGCTCATAGTTAATTAACGTGCAGAGCGTTTTTTCCGCTCTCGCATTTTTCCTCGTCTCTCGCTCTCGTAATAAGTGTGCGCGTCTCTCTCATACTTGCACCGAATAAACCCACCCGAACGTGAATTATGAAGCGGAAAAGCGTTCACGGCGCGCGATCATAAATTCGCAAGAAACACACAAGCCGGCTGACGCGTGACTGGAAAATTTATGATTATTTTGAGAAATTTATTCGGGGGACGCGGACAGGAGCGCAAAGAAGAAAAAAAAATGCCACTCACGGTTATTAAACGCAAAATACAATACAACGAGTGTGTTATCGTTGTTTGCGGCTTCCAGCTGCGGTTTATTTTATGTGCCGAGATGTAATCGATTTGTTAAACTCACTCGCCAAAATGACCCCGATTGATTTTCTGACCAGCATGAAACACATCCGTGCCCGCGGTGGTTCGCAAATCGATGTTTGCTCAGTCTTTTTGCGAACTACTTTCAAAACTTTCCGTCTGGCCGTGACAAAAAAATAACTTTTCCTCTATAACAAAAGGTGTATCTGTATCCTTGTTCTAATTGCTTTGCTTGCAAAGTTAGAAACTTGTTTAGGCTGTGAGCACTTTTTTTATGTCAGCAGCTTCATTAAATTAATTTTTGTCACAATTTTTCCTCATTTCGTCCTGCTCTTTTTTATAATTAAATTGCTAGAGAAAATTTGATGCACTCAGCACGGCAAAATAATTCGTGTATTATTTTCGCCCGTCGGTGTTTTCGGACCGTGACAAATTTTCCCTGCAGTGGCAAAAACCAATTACAAGCGCAAACGTGCTAAAGTCAATTAACAGTCGGGTGCCTCGGCTGTCAAACAAGTGACGTTCTCGCTGTCAAATTGTGCTGGCGCCTTGTGTGCATTGGGTGTTTGAGTGTCATGCCAATTTGATTCTGGCGTGCCTATGTATCTGGACATTTGCACAATTTCTATGAAATTATGGTGGAATGATTTTTGAGACTTCCAAATTAATAAATAAATTATTTGATTCAAAACATCATCAATCATATAAAAAGAGATGATATGAAAATATACATTTTAAAATTAATTTTTTTAGAAAGGCTGAACAACTTGAATTCTTCATGATTTATTTTATAATTTTTTAGAATATAATTTGGGTAATTTAGTTTGATTATTTGAAATATACATAATTTTATTTTATTTAATTGAAATTTTTTTTCCATAAACTTTACAAAAGATTGATTTAATCCTACATCTAAAGGGAATTTTTATAGATTTCATTGAAATTTAACCACAGCTCTCTCCATGGTTCTCTATTGGGTCAAAATTCAGTTTGAAAAACTTTATTGTGAATAAAAAGCTCATTATTTGCAAGATTCACTTTATAAATAAAAATATGAATCTTTTAAAAGATAGATTAATGCATACCTTCGTTTCTATTTCTAATCTCTAATTAAACTGACTCTCAAACTCCTTCTGAAACTATACACGTGTATAAATTAAGTGAAAAAAATTATTTGCAGTGAAGATTTTAATAAGTTTAGTGACAGATCATTGGGATTACGAATCATCTAATTTCCTCTTCATAAAAAAATCTGTTCTGTACATAGCGGCTTTAAAAAATATAATAACAACCTGCAAAACGTAATCGCAATAGCCTGCTCTTATCCCGGTTATGATGCTTTAATTTTTTTTTTATAATTCAGATAATATTAGTGGAAAAGGTAAATTTAAAGAGCATAAAATTCTTTTTATGTGTATTGCGACGGTTGTGTTGTTTTCTCATAACCAAAATAAAATAATATTAATTAATATGAATTGATTAAATTGAAATATAACTGCGAAAATATCTCAAAAAGCTCAGGAAGAAATGAAGTTAGATGCGGAAGACAGCATAAAAATTGAATGGTATCTATGGTACATATAGATTTGGGCGTTTCCCATAGATAAAATATCCTGAAGCTAGAATTAAATCAAAACTTTTAAATTTTCATAACTTTTTAGAATTACGAAAACGTGCATGGAAATGATAGGAAAAATAAATTTTACGTTTTCTTTTAAAAATAGTACTTAATTTAACAATTTTTTGTAATTGTTATTGGATTTGAGCAAGATATTTGAAAATTTTGCCAATAAGATGTTGTCAACGTCGTTTTGCTCCAGAACGTCAACTTTCTATTGAAAATACAAACTAGGTCGTATGCCTAAAAAGCAGATACATCTGCAGAGCGGTGATGACAACAGCTTTGAAGGAAATGTGGAAATGATGCGGAAAAAATGTGCGAGAGCGGAAAACGAGAGGATGCGTACCTGGTGATGGGGTTCGTTGAGAGGGTTGTTGATCTCAGCCGGGTGGTGCACGAAGAGTGTGTTGTCGGGCGGGCGGGCGGGTCGAGTAGTGAGAGATCGAGGGTGCTTCGCTCTGCTGCAGACACACAAGCGCAGGCTGCGGCGCCGACGGCGGGACCAAGACTACGCCAGCCGCGATCATCTCTGGCCGAGGCGCCGCGCTACTTCGGCTCATGCGCCACCCTCCTCCCTATGCAACCCTGCAGAGCTCTCGCAAAACACACACATTTTCGCACAGAAAGTAGTGCAGCCTCTCGATACAGTTGTTATTCTTGCGCCCCACTCGACGGAGAGAGAGACTCACTCGACCGACGCCCCGCACATTTACGTGTGTCGTTTTTTGATTTGGCAAACGGACCTTTTGCGCTCTCGTCGGAGGCGAGCAAACGTGTTAACAAAAGGGGAGTCTCTGTTGTTTCGGCGCACGGTCTCTTTGCCTCTTCTGAGATAAAATAAATGGAATTTTTCACATTTCATATTTTAAAACATAACTTTAACTAGCAAAACATTTTCGGAATAAAACTTTACATAAAAAAATTTGTTTCTTTATTTGCTGGATTTTTTTGTCATATACTTCCTTTTTTAAGAACAAAATAATAAATCATACATAAATTTAAGATGGTTTTTAGACTTTAGAAGAAAAAATTATTTATTCAATATTTTCCATTTGAACGCCAAAAGTTCATTTTTCAAACAGATGTCTTTATCAGCGATTTAAATTACATAATAATTTTTTGAGAATTTAAATCCCAAACAAACCACTTTAAATGGGAAATAATTAAATTAGTAGCTTTTGACTAATTACGTGGAATTACGTTTCAAGACATGAGATATTTGAGACAAAACCAGTGGAAAAAAGTTAGAAAATTTTCGCCCTCAATTGATATTTTTTATTATCACAACTGGAATTTTCTAACTTTTGTACACTGGTTTTGTCTCAAATATCTCGTTTCTCGAAACATAATTCCACATCTAGGCGATTAGTCGAAAGCTTTAAATAAACAATATTTATTCATTAATTCAGGAAAATATAGGGAAAACATATCCGCAATGTAAAAAAAAGACAAGATTACATAGAATCTAAATTATCTCATAAACTACTGTTGAGTGAAGCACTTAATTAAGAACTAAATAATTTAACATGGACTATATAGGCTGCAAAATTTGATTTCCTACATTAGAAATTTCTTAACTATGCAAAGGCATCACTTAATTAAATCTGATTCAACATTTCATGAGACTTAAAACGACGTTCTTGAGACTTTTTCAAAGCCAACATTTTTTACCAGTGGAGATTTTACTTCCAATTCAATATATTTTGCCAAATTTTATTTACAATATTGAGACTGTTTCAAACAAAAGTGTGATTTTATTATTAATTAATTGACTTTTTGAAATGTACTATTTTCTCATTTAAACTTTGGCCTTGAGCAGAGCGACTCGAAAAACTACTTCTTCCTTCTTCTCCCCTTCTGGTTAATAAGCAAATTCAGCCCAAGTTGTAGTTTAATTCTGCAGGGCAAGAACAAACTTGTCCTTTGAGCATGAAATATTACTATCAACACACAAACCCTTTTACGTTGATGACGACGAGCACCCCATAAATACAGATGAGCTGCTCGGCGACATTTTAATCAAATAACTCCGCAAATGAGCCCACTCTGATGCAGCGTGTGCAATTCGAATCTGGCCCGCGGGGCGCATTTGCATATGAAAAGGATGCGAGAGCAGCAATTCAATTGGGGCACGCGCGCGCATACTTATATGTATATTATAATTCTGGAAGGATGGATGATGAGAGACACGAGCGAGAGAAACCACCAATGCAAGGCGCACATTTTTGCTCGAGTGAACGCGCACACGGTTGCTCACAATTTAATTATTCCGCGTGCAAAACACCACCGTGGAGATTAATTAACGCCTCTATTTAGTTAACTTATTCTGTCAGACTGGAAACGCTCACATCATGAATAAGATTAAATTTAGTGGAAGTTGTTCTGAAAGACAAAGTGTCAATGAATTTTGATTATAATTTTTTATTCATTAGCAATATTTTTTTTTTATACATATCATTTCCAATAATAAATGAGACATGATGACACAAATTGCGGAGAACTGAATTTTCAAAAATTAACATTTCATCTTCCAATTGGAATTTTTTAAATAACTTTTCTGGACTAGAATTGAGGAAATTTCACCGTAAACACAGTTAATATCACCCCAATTAATTTAACCGATTTAAGTAAAAACAATGGGAAGCATGTCCTCAAAATTTACATTGAGCTTATGGGTTTCAGTTAACATTTTAAATTGGGGTTAAAATTATAAAATTCACATTATTTTTCCTAATATTTATTTATCTTTTGAGTACATTGTCAATTATCCAAAAACTCTAATTTACACAGCAAGGAACTACTAATCATGGAATGCCCGCAGAGATCGAAATTATTACTGTATTTTTATTTTCTTAAAAGTTATTCTAAAATGCTGCCTGGTGATCTCCTTAAAGAGGGCGACAACCTTCAACAAATTAACATCCTATTAGATTATGACCATTCTAGTGTCTTTTTTGGCAAAAATTGTTTAAGTTTCCGAAATATCCTGAATATAAGACATTTTTTTTTGCACCGGTATGTTATCTTTATCAGTTGCTTGAGAAACTTTGAGAGCCATTGAATCCATAATTTATCTTTTTAAGAAACAATATCCTATGAAAAACCTCGAATCATTACACAACGATCTACAAAATTTTCTGAAGGTATATTTCGATTAGCTTAAAACTTTGTTTGAAACAATTGAATTAAATGCAACACAGGTAACTGTAGCAGAGGTAATTGCTCTACCAATTTTCCCGACCAACTAAATTAACTTGAACCGGATTGCTCGGCGCTACATCATTTTCCTGGCCGCTCCGTTTCCGGATTGCATCTCGTCATACTTCTTTCGGAATCTGCGGTTTAGGAAAGAACAAGCATTTTTCCAAATTCCGATCGGCAGACTTTCAAAGAACCAATACTGCAAAAGAACATTTCTCATAATTTTAGCTTTGAAAAATTCAAAAAATCTATCAAATTTTACCTCAATTCCGTGGCACCAGTATCCAGCTGTTTTGTTGTTCACACCGAGCGTAGCAATTGCGTTTGCAGCAAACTCTTGAGCAGAGGGCACCATCAGACCACCAGATGTTAAATTAGGGCTGTACTTGACCATTTGAGTGTTGATGTAGCCAGGTGTCAGGGTCTGCACTGTCACTCCCGTGCCCTTGCACTCATTGCAGAGGGCGTCGCTGAAACTATCGACGAACGCCTGGAAATTTTGAATTTACATTTAACACAATCAGATCCAAAATAAATTATATCTTTAGTTTCCTTCGACATAGGATTGTTTTCCTAAGTTCAAATGTAATTGAATGGAGAGTAAAAAAAAATTAACTCATACCTTCGAAGCCCCGTAAATGCTCAGGAAAGGAGTGGGACCCAAGCCAGAGATGGACGACAGGTTAATTATGGCACCTCTCTTCTTCTCCTTCATGCTTTTGAGGAGCATTCGGGTCATGACGGTGACTGCTGCGCAATTGACGTTGATGTGGTCCCACATTTGGTCGTCACTCATCTCTTCGACGGCCATAGGATAAGGCAATATCACTCCAACATTATTAACTGCAAATGGAATGACGAAACAATTTCAACTTTTATTGTGAAAAATTAAAATCAACTAACCCAAAATCCCAACATCAATTCCTTTGAGCTCTCGCGCTATGTGCTCATAAACTGGCCGACCTTTGCCAAAGTCCGCAACTATGACCTTTGTTTCAACTCCGAATTCCTCCTCTGAAAAATTTAAGATCTCAATTCAGTTTTATATTCGACATTCAATTATCCAAAACTGACCAATTTCTGAAGCAACTTTCTTCAGTTTGTCAAGGTTGCGAGCGATGAGGATGATGTTGACATTCCTCCTGGCCAATTCATGAGCATAAGATTTTCCGATTCCGTCTGAGCCTCCGGTAACAACTGCGAAAAATCAAAATTGTAAATATTAAAAAATTAAATCGGATTTCTATACCTGTGCATTTGTGCAAGCAAAAAAAACATTAAAAAAACATTATTACTGCCGAAATTTGATCTTCAAGGTTAAAAAAATTCAATTTTTGGCAGCAGTTTTTTTTTCTTGGTGATTTGAATTTAAATTCTGCTTTTCCTCGATGGGTTTTTGGTTTTTGTTATTATTATTTATTCTATTCGGTCATTCTACTACAAATGTTTTTTCTATTTTCAGACAATCAAAAAACCTTAATTAAAAAACTCCACTAAAAGAAAAAAATGGCTCAATTTGCTCTAAAACGTACAATTTGCTCGGAAAAAATGTCGAGATAATTATGGCGAGATTAAAACAGGGGCTTAATTGACCTTTCCTGGCTCACTGGAATCATAAAAAGTTGCAGTTTTGACTCCGGAGTCCATTGTGGGCAGCAATCAAACAATGCCCTCATTTGACCGCTTTTTCAGAAGCCCCTCCTTAAAACTACCAAATTAAAGTCCAACTTGACAAAAAAAAATGGTCAAAATCACGCAGATTTGGAATTAAATTAACCAAAATTGAGTAGATTTTTTGCAAATTATGTAATGCAGTCAATGTCATGCATGGCGACGTCTTGAAGGTTAAATTCTCACCTGCCCACTTGCCGTATTTAGCTGCCAAATCGACCGGACTGTAAAGTTTGGTGACGAAATGCGAGTAGACGCCTTTGCAGACATTCCTTCCGATGCTCAGGAAGAGTTTGCCGGCGTAAAAGAGACCCAAAAAGGTGACCAAGTCCTCGTAAAACGTGAAGTCACGATTCATCTCGCGCAGCAACATGGCTACTGAGTCAGGGCCCACTGCCATCGGCGCTCAAGGTTACGGCCGAAGTCGAAGGGCGATGATGATTGCAGCAAAAACCGCTGCGAAAACAATTAAAATAACAAAAAGTAGTGTCCCTAAGAAAGACATTCAATAGAGGAGAATTGGAAGAGTGGGGCGAGTCCCGAGTCCCGAAGTAAACAGAATGTATGCAACCAGTCACAGTTATTTCGAAACAATTATTATCGTTTCAACAGCAACCGGTATTAAAATGCTAAGATTTTGCCTAAATACTTTGGAAAGTGAGATGAATGCAACGAAAATGTCTGAAGTGCATTTATTTTGTAATTTTCCATAACAAAAATTGCCACATTGACTTGATATTGAGAAATTACCAAGGATATTATAAGTGTATGTGAAAAACCGGTTATTTTTATCGATTTTAGGAGAAAAATCAATAATTTGCACTTTGCTGCCATCTAACCACATCTAACAAAGAATGATTTTGGCGTTTTTTTTTATTATTATTATTATTATGACCATAGTAATTTAGATTTTTTTATACTTTAGTACATTTTGTTTCATTACTATATTTTTATAGCCTATTTTTTTCAACACTTGACGCGCCAATTTTTTTTTCAAAATAAAGAGGCTCAATCCACTCAGGGTAGTAAGTTAAAAATACATTTTAATTAAATGCCATGATTATTTAATATAATAAAAGAGAAATATCAGTTTTAGTTTTTATTTTATTCTTTATAACTAAATAATTTTACATAATATTAGTTTTTTACAAGCATAAATTTTATCATCAAATAATACTATGCTTGATATTTTTCCATATTATTTTTCAGCAGGAAAATTTCAATTTGTGCATATATTATTTCACTTTGGGAATTCTAGTTTTTTGAGCAATATTAATTGAAAAATGGGAAAAATGTTCCACAAATAATTAAAAATATTGGAATTTATAAATAAATTCATGGCTGTTGATCATCAGTTTGTTCATTATCTGTGCTGTTGGTGGCAAAAGATTCAGCAATGGAATTTGCATCGCTCTCGGTGCCATTTGCACACCCTTTTTTCTTTTTGTTGTACTTTGCCCACTTTTCACAATCATGCCACAGTCGAGTGTCGGTCGGTCCGAACTTGTAGTAAAAAACAGGACCGGCGCATTCGGTGCAGATCGAATGAACAGGAAAGCAGGACTTTTTCAGGAAGTGCCTTTTCATTTGCTCCTCGGTGGGTTTCTTCGTTCTGCAATTTGGGCAAAAAAACAGGAGGTCCTCCCTTGATTGGAATCTGGGGTGAACTGCATCAATTTCTACTCGGCCCATTGCCGGTTCCTCGGCCAGATTTGTCTGTTAATTAAAAAGATTATTTTATTTAAAAACAAGATTAATTTTAACATACATTTTTGGACTCGACGGTGCTCATTTCTAAAAAGAATTTGGCAGTTCAGAATTGGAATGATCGCAGTCTTGTTGGCAGTCTCTGTTTTGTGTGCTGGAAAAAGAGCCAAAATAAGGAAGTGACACAAATTAAAACACTTTTTTCAATACTTTTCTCGGTCCACTTTGATTTCACCTGACAGTTCCAGACATGGTCATTTGCTGACCATCGGTGCCGAAGATAAATTAAACACAGATAATTTAGTTCGAAGCCAAAATTTCGTGATTTTGGCAGCACACACCTGCTCTTTTAATTTATCAAACCGCCGTTCCAGAAAAGGGTTGAAGCTTAAAGCGCCGCTTGTGTCACTTTATTGGACTTTTTTAGCTGATGTTCGCGTTTGCTGCAGAGTGGCGCGAAAATAATATTGCATATATAAATGGATAATAAAAATTTGCAACAAAATTAATGAGAGACAGTAAAATAAATATTAATTAATCATAAAAATTACAATTTATTATTATTATTTTTAATTTCTCTAGGTCAATATGGGTAAATACAAAAAAATATTTTTTTAATTATTGTGCTTTTTCTAAATTGTTACTCAAACTCTTCCTATTATTTTTTGTGATTTGCGGAGTTAAATTGTTTTTAAGAAAAAAAGATCCTTGTTTAAAATGTAGCGCAGTTTTGTTTTATTTTCATAACGTAAACAAATTATTAATGACAAAAATAAATAAAAAACGGTAAACATAATATTTAAATTCATTTATAATTTAAAGCATCACAGACGTTTTGTTCTATAAAATCGCAGCTGAAGATTATTATGAAAAATTGTTTCATGACTACGCTCGATGAAAATTAATGTAATAAAACTGCAGAAACATTTTATAAACTGTTTAGTTAATTATGAAAAAATAATTATAGAAGAATACGTACGAAATGGATGGAGGGTTATTTCTAATTTTACATAATCAAACATAGTCAAATGGCAAAATTTGTAAGTATATATAAAATTTTAGTATATTTATCGATATTTAACAATTGTTTTCCCTTATAACAAAAAAAAATTTTTAGAGATTTTTATATTTTAAAATATAATTTTAATATAAATAGTATAAAAAAATTAAAAAATAATAATTAAAATAAAAAATGTTTAACCAAAACTAACTAAAAAGTGTTGTTAAAAATAATTTTTTAATGTTTTGCATAAACATTAATTTCTTACTATCAAATGTTTTAATTTTCTTCTTGAATAACGAAAATTTTTATTTTTCCTATTCTTTATTGAATAATAAAAACGGTATTTGAAATTTTTATTTTGTTTAAATAATTTAACCAAAATTTTAATTGATTATTTATAGTATAAATTGTATAGTATAAAATCATATAAAATGAATTACGTTTTCATTTTGAGGCGGAAGAATTTTTTTTTTCCATGGTCGTTTTGGTATTTTATCAGTCTGCGCTGTGCTTTATGTGTGCAATAATTATACACATTTCAGTTTTCTGATGCAAACGAGGTCGCGTGCGTGGGTGGAGTGGAGTGTGTGTTGCGGTGCACTTGAATTGTGTTTTTTTTTTATAGCGCTTTCATGCCTGTTGCGCGCAAGAGGGAGCACCATAGCAGGCGTATCAGATTTCATTTTAGCATAATACATATATTTTTTCCTTTTACTGGGACAGCTTTTGAAGAAGTGCATGATGACAGAATTTGGCAAATAATTCATAAATTTGGTAAATATGTGACAGAGTTTAATTACAATAATTTAAAAAAAATGGAAAAAACCTACATTCGCATAAGTTTAAAAATCAATTTTATTTTCTGGTTTTCTTTTCTAAATTTTTGCTCTCTTTTTTAAAATTATACAGGTTTAGTTGTAAACAATATTAATATCTCTGACCAAAAAAATCTATAAAATTTTAAAAAGGTAGCAAGAAATTTTACAGATTTTGTATATTTTAGCTTTAATTGTGAAAACAGCGTTAATTGATTACGGAAGCAAACGTGACCCCTGAATTATTTACTGAATGGGTGCTGTGACATCTTTGACCAAGCCAAGCAAAGCGGTCACCGACGGTGATTCAACAGTCACGTTTGTCGCGTCTGATCTCACCGCATTAGCAGGTAAATATCAATTCCTGAGAAACAAGTGAAACAATAAACCGAGACATCAGGAGACATTTGCACAAACAGAGCACATAATATTATTTTGTATTTGTCTCCAACGAAAACCGCAACCTCTAAATTTTGACCTTTGATATGGCGATCAAAACCCAAGCAATGCACGCTTTGTATAAGTTCAACGCACAAAGTCACAAGGAAAGTGAAATTCGAGCGAGGTCGCGATGCAGCAGGTAGTTTCTTTTCTAGATAAAAAAAAGGAAAAATAAAAAAAAAACATTAAATGCGGTTTGCGGGCTCAATAAATCACCTGAAAAAGCTAATTTTGCAATGAAACTAAAATATTATTAAACCAGGCTTGTAGTCCTAGGGGGACGGAGGGTAACGGCGCCTCCATTAAGGAATTTTTGAGGTGACGCGCCTCCATTAAGAAACAGTCCATGGTGACGGAGGGAGACGGTCATTTTTTAATTTCAAACATTCAAATTGTTGAATTGATCACAAAACTCTTAGAGAACATATTTATTTTCTGTTGCGTGGCTGTGGCGAAGTTTAGGATTGAATCCTTTTGTTAAAAATGGATGCTTGCGACAGCCAAACAAGAAGGCTCGCGCTGGCATTTTCACAAAAGGTGGTTAATCCTCATAGGGGGAATTTCCTTATTCTTGGCCACAAAATATTAAGTGGTCATTTTACACAATTCGACAGGGTATTATTCCGTCTGAACAGACACGCACCTTAAAAAAAGATAGGTCGGGCGCATTTATGGGCCAAGAGGGTCGTATTGAAAAAATATTTGTGTTTAGGCAACCCGCAATGTTCCTGTGCACAGGGGTTGCCTACTTTACAGGGGATCTATTTGTGACGTCACCACCGTCTCCATTAAGAAAATTTTAGGACTACAACCCTGTATTAAACAGTATATTTTCGCAAGTAAGCAAAAAGAATTTATTAAATTAATTAAATAAATAGGGAGGTTTGAATTGTGTAACCACAATGGCAACTTCTATTTTAACAAATTCAATAAGTACTGAAAATATTATTATTAGTTTGACTTTTAAACGTTTAGAGATCCTGAATTTAAATAAAATTTAGTCAAAAAATTCAGATACGCTGTAAATGATGTAACAATTATTATTGTAAAACTGTTCAAATATCATAGATTTGGACAAAAATTGAATAAGATTTTAACAGATATAAAAGGAAGCCCCACTTAAGTCAGTATCCTTATTAAGATCTAAATTAATTGGCGTGTGTGCGTGACGTGGCGCCTTTCGGGTGTGTGCGCCGCCGTCACACCCCGAGCAGGTCAAACGGCGAAATTTAAAGAAAGAGACACTTTTCTTTCTTGTGTTGGCGGCACAAATAGGAAGCAGCCGTGAAGCAAAAAATATAAAAAAGGAGAAACCTGAGACGCTTCTGGAAATTAATACCTACGGCAAGAGTCGGAGTGAAAAAAACACACTTGCTCGCAATAGTTCAAAACACACACGCGCGCGCACTCCGTAATTTTTCACGTTTGCATTTTGATTTTGTTGATGGAAGAGCAGGGGTGAGATGCTGGTATTGCTTCGAGCCGTGTGTACTTGAACGCCGCGCTATTGTTTCACCCGCACCCAAGTCGTCCCACAGACAATTATTTATTACACATTTTAATTTGCATTGCACGCGTGCTGCTGCGGTTAGTAAGTCGCGCTCGTTACTACTCTTTTATACTCGTTTCTCTGGCACAGTGAGTTAAGTGAGTGATCGAGTGGGTGTTTCAACTGAACGGCGGCGGGCGACAATCGTCGTTCCAATTCCAAGCCAGGTAATTTCTTTACATAAAATCATACTCTTTATTAATCATATCAGCTAAGGTTAAAATTTTGCTTGTGTTATTAAAAAAATCTACATATTTTTTTAACGTTTCTTAAAAATTAAATAATTAATTTCAAATTCTGTACTTTTATTATTATGGTTCTTTTATTGGAATGAAAGTAATAGCAAATCAATCAAATTGACATCAAAATCAAAAGTTGGTTTCAGAATCAGATTCACCTAAATTATAAAGATTTTATTCCAATTTTTCTCATTTTGTGACTACAATTTTTCGTCTGCATGATGTATAAATAATAACTTAAGCAAAATTTTCAAGAAATTTATTCAGTATTGTTTTTTATTTTAGCAGAAAACTGATTGTTAGAAGAAGTTTATATTTTATTGAATTTTAAATTTTTTTATATATTTTAACTTTCCCATATTAGGTGATGCATAGAGAATAAGATTTTCAAATCCGGATTGATGTGGTGTGGGTGGATAACAAAATTGTTTGATCATTTTCTTGGAAAAATCACAGCCTGGTGCCGTTTTTTTGCACATATTATAAGAGAAATCAAAATGTATTGATGGTTTCACTATAATATTCTGAATAAGAACAGGTGGCATAAGTTATATGTAGCGATTGGTTGGTTTTATCAAATTAAATTGCGGGCCAAGTTTAGTGTGCATGACCTAAACAATTGTGGAAAGTTCAGGAGGAAAAATTGAAATCTAGAAAAACTCTTAATCTTGCACTATTTACAGAAAATACGGAAAATACAAAAGAAAAAATTAATGAAGATTAAATCAACAATAAAAAAAGGCAATTTAAAATAAATTTTATAAATCTACAAAAAGGAAAAAATTGTAGCTCAGGAAGAAAAGAGCATAATTTCAACTAACATTGTTCTCAAACTATAAAATAGAGAAATTAAAATGGAACTTATTATCATGTTTTCTTTTGCAAATCAGAGATAAAGATAAGGTTTTGAAACAAGAGTAGATTTTCATCTTCAGCCCACTTCAGCCTAGTGACAATTATCTTATTTATCTTAAGTTTGCTATTAATTTTAAACACGGTGCCTCAAACGTATTTGACTTTTAATTTAAAAATAAAGTTTATTTTATATCTTTTTTCCTTCATAAAATAAAAAATTCTTGTTCTGCAATATCTTAATTTTGAGACGTTCAAAAAGGCAAACTAATTGAGAAATTTCATAATATTTTGTTTCTTCCAAATTTCAGTTTCTTTAGAGCAGCCCACCTGCACAACTGACAGCAGTTTATTTGGTTGAGTTTGTTATTTTGCCAAAAGATAAGATGACTTAATGATTGATAAGCAGCTAGACAAGTTAATTTAATACATAAGTCCACCTACGCTAATCTAATTTGAATATATCATCAAGTGGAAAACCCAAATTCACAACAAGTAGCACTCTTGAAGATATCAAGAATTCTATAAAATAAAAATAATTTCTTCGTAAACTAAAACTTTTTGTGAACTAAAATTTCTCCAAAAATTTCAAAGTCAATTTTTATTTCCGGTTTGTCATAATGATAAGAAAAAGCGGAAAGAGTGTCATTGCCAGACTAAATTAACGAATGCACTTGAGGAAGGGTCGCAACTCCAACAGCGTTTGTTTTTTAGTATCTTATCATGCTTTCGGTGCGCGGTGAGCGCAATTTCATTTGCCCTCGTGAGTCATTTTGTCTGTGCACATCTCGCTAAAAGCTACACTCGAAAACTTCAATCGCTTTCTTTTAATTGACCGCCGGGACGGAAATGTTTTGACAGCTGGCCATTAATTCTATTATTCAGATCTCGAGCCGATTTTAACTGGGCTAACTTCTGCGCGCGAGATAAAACAATGAAGGACGAATTTGATAACGACCACGCTGGTTATTTCACCTACCTGCTGTTTAACACACTCAAAAGTAAAAAATTCGCAAAATTTTATTAATTTTGACAAAAATTTCATCCAGGTTGAATAATTTGTGCGTTTTTTACAGATTCGAAAGAGACAAAATGAACAATATGTTTTATTTTTTTCAGGCATGACGACCAGTCTGGGCCAACAATTATGGAACAGAGTCGCCGAGAGGGCACGCAGGTCCTTGAGCACATCAGGTACAGAAAAATATAAATTTTAAAATTTTATACTTTTTTCATGCTTATTTCTTTGGTAAAATTCTTTTTATCGCTGTTCAAGTGTGCGTTTAGAGATAAAAATATTTTTGTTATATTTCGCTCAAAGTCTAGTTCTCATGATTCATAATAGTGTGGAATTATAAATTTTTGAAATGCATCTAAATATATTGGTCACTTGGATTTTTGGAGGGAGGCCAAAAGTATTGGTTTAATTCAATAATTACTGAGATTCAGTTGCTATTTTGGTAGGTTTTAATAAAATACTAATTTTGAGCTTTCAATAGAAGTTCAAAATACAAAGATTGTATATTAAGAGTTTGGCCTGTAGAAAAATGAACAATTTATCACCAAAATTAACCGATATTATTATTTAGTTTAAATGTTTTAAATTGGAAAAATTAAAAAAAAAAAAGCAACGCGTGTTTTTAGAGTATAAATTTGATAAATTTTCTTTAAATAATAATTATGATAAAGTAAAACTAGAAATTTTAACTTGTATTAACTTCATTGTTTCTCAAAAATACTAACAATTTTCAATAAATTTCTTTCAATGAATCTTCTTTTGAGAAAATATAAGGAATCTATGAAACATGCAGAACAATAAAAAAGTTCATTCAGACCAATAAAAAAACCGAATTATGTGCGTCTTGTATCCAATTCTGGTGAAAACTAGTTTATCTCATCCTTGCAAGGATTCCCGAAAATTTTGCGGGACGCAAAATTAGTTTTGTGTCTGTTCAGAGGTATTTGACAAGTTGAGGAAATGGAGACAAACATAATTAATGCACGCATCTCCAGTGCTTAAACCTCTCCTTCTAAATTACGTAACGTGCCATCACAACATCAAACTTGCTAAACGTTCGCGGTTCAATTTAATTAGGGAAGTGACAGGCATCAAAAGCTTGTCTCTTCGTTTATCCAATTAGATGCTGACTGCCGACTGCGCTTAACACCAAACTTGTTGCTTTTATATGTTTTAATTATCTGCAAATAAGCATAATATATAAAATATGGAGTTATATGTGCAGAGAGCGCTACTGACTTACACACAATTATTATTGTTTTTATTTTCACTTTTGAACTTATTTTTTAATTTCAACAAAATAGGGTATCCGTTACGTGTTACGTTTATATTGAAATGTCGCTGTGCTCTATAGACTATATAAAATTTCATTTTCTTCGAAACCTTTTCCAAAATTTTGATTTTTTTATTAGCATTTTTTTAACTAAAAACTTTCACCAAAAAACAAAGCACACAGAAAGAGTGCGAAATAAAGATAACCATTTTTTTATCTTTTCCAACTTTACGGTTATCCTTTTGCAAACACCTGTAGTCTCTAGAATTGCAAATTGAAATGGAATAACTAAAGTGCATTCTCTATTGAAAAATCTTTTCTTCTGCAGAGGAGCCTGGACAGCGTTTGTTGGAGGAGCTGCGCCGAGATGAGGGCAGCGACCTGCAGTCCCGATGGGACCCTGAGCTATGCATTAATATGATCAGGGTTCCCCTGACCACCAACTACGCTGCCCTAAGGAAACTGCTCAAAGTCGTCAGCAGGTATTTAAAATATTCTTTAAATTTTGCAGTACTTTTCTCTATATTGAATACAAATTACATTATAATAAGTCGTTTAAAACTGGAAATGAAAATTCTCAGGAAATCTTCCAATTTTATGTTTTGATCGGATTTTCCTCTTAAAATAAACCAATTTAATAAATATTCTAAAATAAAACTTCCAGCCTTTCATATATTTTTTCAGAAATTATGCCAAAATTTTATAAATTTCCCCCAAAAACAGATAAAAATGATAAGTTTGGACTCATTTTTTTTTCAAAGTTGTCGCATGATCACTTTAATTATTTCCTTCTTTATTAAAGTTTTAATTCAATAAAATGACAAAAATTGGCAACGAAAACAATTCTTATTTTTCACAAGCGTAATTGGGACGCGCCATAAATTACTGCGCAGATAAAAATTACGGGTCAGCTCTGAAATGGGTTGTTGAAGGATTAGCGAAATCGTTTTTTCTGATATCTCCTTTGTTATATTAATTAATTGACAGCTACGGCTTTGCCTGCGTCATTTTTGAGCCGCTCTTGGGTCCAAAACTCAGCTTTTGCGCGCACAAGAGGAGCTCTTGTAACACCATAAAAAATATCAAGTGCTGGCGCTGACCGTCAAAATTGTATAAAAATACAATGACAAGTTTTTGATGAAGGTTTTAGTGAACAAATTCAACAATTTATGCAAACATTATGCTATTTTTACAACGTGCGTCACTAAAGTAAAAGGATGTCGTTTCTATTGAGCAACAAAATGCAAAAATCTTGACGCCAATCGAAAGCTCGTTGATTGACACGTTTGTTTGCTTTTATCAAAAGTGATACAATAGAAACCATCCTTCGGTAAATACGCAGATTTTCTCCTCTGACAGCAGATTTTTTTTAGATTGATATAAAATCACACCAGCTGAAAGTCTTTATTTAATTAAGTTCAATTAAAATTTTAAAATAGCCTTTTTTAATTGAGGAAATACAGCGTGTAATTGAACACACACTCTAATTATCAAAAATCGTCAAACAGCTTTATCTGAAAAACACAACTCAATTTTTAATCCGGGGTGATTACGTATGGAGATAATGAGAGCAATTGCAAAATAATAAAAATTTCCCCTTAACGACCGATTACAGTGTAATTCTTCTTAATAGACTCTTATCGTTCTGCAGACTTTGAACGTTTGGTTGAACCAATCAAAAAACTGGTTTCTTCTGGTTTTAACTTCCTTAATTAAACTTCCATATCGCAATTAAAAGTGTAATTTAAGCAAGTTTTCCATTATTTATAAAATTGAAAATACTTGCTTAGTGCTGTGTGGTATAAAAATATTGAATATAAATATAAAAATTAAATTAAATTTTTCTTTATAGATGATAAAATTATATTTTGGTGTAAATTGGTCCTGAGGCCCTCGCATTTATAACTTTATTGGTGGTGATGACAATTCATCACATTTATTTTGAAAATAATTTTTTTTTCTTCAGACATGATTTGCCGAAAATAATTCATTTTTAAATTAATTTATTAATTAAATACTGAAATTATATATAAGAATTTTGCAACACTTGGTGGATTCTGTCGTTAGTCGTTCTCTCGTTTTCAAATGAACGAACCTTCGCCCGAAAATTTCTGCCGTTGGCAAATCCTTCTTGCAAATATTTGCACGCGCCTTCACCATCGGAATGTCGAGTGCGCTACACCCACCCTTTCGCCAATCTTCCTATGCAAGCAAAGATGCAATAAAGTATGTATTCTTTTGACAGCATGGCAAGAATTTCAATTTGCTTTGAGTCAGCAGCATGTAGCAAAGTGGCAGAAAAAACGCACTTCCTCTCCATTATTATTATATTCGCTCTGGGAGGAGTCGGTTGAAAAAAATTAGCTGTTGCTCGGAAAGGCACTTTATTTCTCAAGCACAATGAGATGTGCGTGCATCCCGTGAATTATGTACATTTATTCACGAGCGGGTTGATGAACAATTTCGAGAGCTCCTCCTCCGCACACTCTTATCTTCGGGAGAGAGAAGAAGTGGCGCCGCGAGTCTCCACTCTTTTTATTCCACCAATCTTACTTTCAATTTGGTGCCTGCGTTCCTTGCTTGCGGTCGCTACGGTAATTTTTTGCCTGACTTAATTCGGTGCGGTTGATTAGTGGTCGAATTCGAGTGTGTGATGTGTGCCCGCGGCCGCGAATATGAATTTTGAGTTTTTACTGACAAACGCAAAAAGTGCAGGATGGGTGATTGAGCGATATTGCGTCAAGAAGTTGCTGCTATTTGAGATTTCACCATGAAATTGCCAAGAGAAAGAAGGTAAATTATGGATAAATGTTTAAATTTTACTTCAAAATTTGAGGGAATTCAATTAAAATTGAAACAAATCGTATTTTTACATTATATCTTTAAAAATAATCTCACACAAATCCCGCACGTCCCGCACAATGAACAACCCAGAGGAGATTAAATCTCTTAAAATTTATTATTATTATAAAATTAGCACATTAAATAATTTATAAAAAAAAATTTTAAATTTTAACCTTAAAAAATATCTTAAATTTAATATAAATTATATCAATAATATAAATAACTAAAAAATACCTTAATTATAAAATTTATTATTTCAAGTACTTAATATAAATTAATATGAAAAATTAGATTGATTATAAATTTATTTATAATATATTTTATTTTTTTTTATTTTTATTTATGTTTTAATTTTAAGCATTTTCTGTAAGTGCCTATTCTCTCCGTAAGTCCCTATTGTGACAAATTTAAATTTTATGGGCAATTGTCTTTTCCAAGGACAAACCCGCCTCGTTTTTCATTTCGACAAATTATGTGTGTACAATCGAAAGTTTCGTGATTTCGTGCGCAGCCACCGAGCTGAAAAAATTAATTTAATTTTCTGATTGCATCTCGGCCGAAAGAAGCATTGAGTCACCGAAGATAATCCTTTTGTCGCTAACCGGCTCACTATTCTCTCAGGTGCTCTTTCGTTCTCCGTTCTTCTCTATGACTCACCCATTCTTCTCGTATACATTATATTGAGAATAAGCAAAGGAGGAAATAAGCGCGCGCCGAAACACAATTATGTAAACGCGCGCTTGGTGCATTTATCTGCTTGATTATTTACAAACTGCCGTTCTTCTCTCTCTCGCATCTTGATGTGTTAGCACAATGAGAGAGAGAAAATAAATTTATTCAAATCGTGCATGGGCGGAGAATGCGGGGAAGGGTTGCCAACGATGAGAAAGAGCCGCTTAGTTATAATTTGGCTCCGGCACAACCGCCGGTGACCGGAAGAGAGCAAAGCGGAGGACGCCGAAAAATTTCACGCATGTGTACCCGCGGGTGGCGCATTAAATAAATATATTTTGCCATTTCCTGTGGTATATAATGAATTGTTAAAAATGCATTGATTGATTGACTCTTTTAAATGTAGAAAATAAATTAAAATGTGATTATAAAACATAATTAGAATTTCTTTCAAAATTAAAATTTGATCGTGCGCAATTTTTAAATTTTCTGTAATACTTTAAATTTCTCAAGACAGTGCAAAAATTAAAAGAAATTTTTGATAATATTTATTCATTCAATGAAATTAATTAAATAAATTTTTTAAGGAGACTGATATAAAATTTTTTATTATATTTTAACTTTTTTGTTAAATTTATTTAAATTCAGAAGTTTTTATTATATGCCAATTTTTATCGATTCTATTTTTATTTTTGCTTTTTTACGCGTTTTATATAATTTTACGATCAATTAAATGCTTCAAGATTCAATGTTTTTTTTAATCAAGAAATTAAACCAATTAAAATACTCCATTTTTTAACGAAAAATTTATCGCTGTTGCTACATCGCACATGGCAAAGTTTTCAACTTAATTTAAGTATGTACGTAAATGAAGCGTGTACACAATTGGGAAACCCGACATGATGCAAGTCTCTCTGCGCTGGGCGTGAGCTCTGAACTGCTTGTTAAATTGTTTATCTATCCACTTATTTATTACCCTCTGCAAAGTTCATAATGCGATTACTCCATAAAGTTTTATTGCCCGTCATAAAAAATTAAGTCGCGATTCCTCCTCCGCGCTCCTCACCAAGCACAAATCAAACAAAACTGCGCTTGGTCGAAAATTCTCTATGTCGGCTGCTGCGTTGGCGGCGCTTTTGATTTGTAGACGAACTGCGATGCACTATTTTCTAGATTTGTATTGCGCATCTTGATTATAAAAATTCAATAGGAAGACTCATTTTATATTGAGTGTATGTTTCTATGGTTTCTATTTAATTGATTGCGTAATATTCTAAAAATTAAGCACGCAGAAAATGGAAAGGATGAAAGATGAAAATTGATGGATGTAAAATACAATTTTATTGTATGCATATTCCTGATAGATATAAATTTGCATGTTATATATAAATACTAAAATACTTTCAGCATTGTCAGTAAAAATAAATCAAATTAATAAAGACCTGTAACCAATAAACTTTTAAACAAATTTTCTCTCAAATTATACAATAAGTACATTAAAAGTTATATAATATTTAAGTCAATCAAAAATAATAGATTAAACGTAAAATAAATTAAAACTTTTAGATTTAAAATTTATTAATTTTTCCAAATGAAACCTTCAAATACAACAATTTTGTGTGCAAAATATTAAATAAAATTGCAAAAATAAATTGTTTAAATGCCACAAAATTTATTGCTAATAATGAAAATAAATCAATATGCATTAAGTTTTACAGAAGACGAACCTCTAAATGAGCAAATCAATTTTACTACTTACTTTCTTACTAAGAGCGCAAATTTGAGGCGCGACGACCTATTCTTGGTAAAAATGTACCATCTAAAATCTATAATTTATATTAAAACCAAAATAAGCATACAAAGTTTTGTAATGTAAATAAAATTTTACTCTTAAATTTAATCCAATTGACATAAAATTCAAACAGTAAAATAAAAAAGGTAATTATTTCCAATTCTTTTTATTGTCAAATTAAATATTTTATATATTTTTATTAATAAATTCTGTTTGTGAATTTTATTTAGTTTGTGGAAAGTAAATTAAAATGTTTTGTTTCTTTATGTTTTCAGAGAATGGTTGGTGGAGTTTGTGGAGCGAGGTGGTTTGGGCGTTTTGCTGGAGGCGTTGGAACGGCTGGGTAGCTGCCCCGGACCTCCCGAAGGCCCCCGCGGCTTGCTGGGAATGGACAGGACCATTTCGCAGTTACGCGTGGTCGAATGCATCCGCGAAGTGATGAACTCGGCCGCCGGTCTGACCTTCCTGTTGGACCACTCCGAGTACGTCCACCAATTAGTCAACGGTGAGTCGCATTAATTATTTTAATAACTCTTGACAATCAATTAGTTTTATCTCCTTTTACGTGGAAACCGGCGTTTTCTGTTTTTAAAATAACAATCAACGTTTTCCTCTATTGATTGATTGATTGACGATGGTGCTGATTAGCAACTTGTTTTCGCCACTCTTTGGTCTCTATGCTTTTAAGTTATACTGAAGCGGAGGCCTCACTTAAGGAGATTTGTGTGGTGTCTGTAAAGCATGCAGCGTGTTATCAATCAATATATGCAGATATTGTAATGGAGAAGCATAATAAGCTCTCCAACTCTCACAGGTGAGACGTGATAAGAAAGACAGATTCATTAATTGTTGTGGACTTATCGGCCCTTCTTGTCTTTAAAAATTAGAAACGTCCCACGCAGTTTAAAGATCAAAGTCCGAGTTTCTATCATGCAAAATTTTGCCCTTTCTATTTGAGCTAATCAGTTTTGAAGCAGAATTTTATTTCAGAGAGAGGAAAGAAATATGAAAGTAAATCATTGATAAAAATATGTCTTAAAGTTTTTCACATGCAATTTTTTTTTGACTACTTTGAATTTTTGGATAGTTTTCTCGCATAACTTTAAATTTCCTTTTTTTTATACTGTTTTCAAATATTTGTGTCGGATATTTTTAAAATTAAATTAATTAATTAAATAAAGTTCTTCTTTACTTTTAGCATACCAATGCCATAATAAATTTTATGACGAAAATAAAAAACTTATAAGATAATTTGGGAAAAAAAATATTTGATAATAAATGGAGGCTTTATGTTTGATACCAAGTTTATCTGGAATCTTTTCTATCAAAACTTAAGCCTCTTTTTTTAAAAGACATGATGGATTATTTTTTCAAACATATACGAAAAATGTTTATAATTTTTTTTTTTAACATTTTATATTTTCGCGTAAATTTTCCAAAGTTCTAATGGGATGTGAATAACAAAAACTATAATTGTTCCTTTTAATTTCTCTCCCCTTAATTTTCACATCCTTTTAAAAACATGGAGAGTAAAACTTCTGGTGTTTCAATATTCTTGATCGCTGACGATGTTGTGTTGTAAATGAACCGCAAATTAATCAACCGCAGCCGTATATAAACATTCTTGTTTTACATTTTGCCGAAGAAAGAAGAGCCTCATTCGAGCAATCTCATAATTCCCATCCACTTTTCTCCTTTCACGCGTATAATTGAGTACCACTGTACGCTAATTTAAAAATTACTCTCTCGGGAGAGAAGTTATTTTATTCTCAGGCGTTTTGTGCAACTGCTTCAAGGCGTGCTACTGTCCTGTACATGGACGCAAAAAGAGAGAAACACATACGCCGGCCGCCGATTGTGTCACCGCCGCCGCAGAGCGTCAAGTTCACTCTCGCGTCTAATTCCGAGCGCGGTTTGCGACATTCGCATTACGCGCATATTTAAACCAAGGCGAGCGGTGCACTAGAGAGTGCAATTTTTTTGCACCTTGCACTTCACCTTCGTGAATATTAATTTATTCTGCTCACAGATCCTTTCATTAAAAGTCCAAACGATTAATTTTCGGGAAATTATTTATTTATTAAATACATTATTTTTAACAATAATTTATTATGCACCATCTAAATAGGAAGGAAACACTGGCAAATTTGACGGCGGATATAAAATCTTCGTTTAATTTTCTTGCAATCAATGTCAGTAGGCGGACAAAGTGAAGAATCGTGACAAGAAAGCGCGCCCAAGTTGATATTTGATCTGGAACAATTCAAACAGACCATTAAATTATTTATGCATTTAAAATATTTAAACTTTAATGTTCTTTTTTAAATGTTTAAAATTAAAACAATTTGATAAAATACTTCATCTAATTACTTTGAAACAAACCGTAAAAATAATATTATTTTAATTGATATTAAATTTGACATCTATTTTAGTTATTATTTATTTAATTTAAATTTACTTCAATAAAAATAAAGAAATATTTAGAGTATTTAATAAAAAATGAATTTACAATTAGAAAATTTTCACATGTATCTTTGTTGCAAAATTGTAACTAACAATAAGTCCATATTTATTTCAATTTTTATATTGCTTTACTGTTATTTTTCAGTTTTATACAAAATTAAAAATTTCTAAAAATATTGACTCACATCTATGATATCAGCGATGATGTGTGCGAGGGGGCTGGCGCGCGGGGGTCTTTCCTGGGGCGCGAACTTCACGTTCGGGGGGTAGAGCGGGCCCGTCTGCGCCTGCAGCTGCAAGTCCTGCGCCAGCAAATTGGTGGTCGGCATCACGTCGCTGAGGAGCTGCAGCGCTTCCTGGTCGGCGGTGTTGAGGGGGTTGTTGCCGTTGTTGGGTCTGGCCAGGGCGGCGGCCACGACAGCGGCCAGCAGCAGGCAGACGAAAAGGATTCGCGACGGACTCATGTTGTTGCAGATCAAGCGGCAATGATTCAGGCCAAGGGAGACCCCCGGTCTTTATACGAGGCGATCAGTGGGGCTGGACGGCCTCAAAAAAGTGGTCAGCTTCTTTTCTTGCTCGTTTCTTTCCATCTCGGTGATTGACTCCAATAATAGACGGGATATATAAAATTATGATAATGATGAAAAATAAAAAATAAAAATAAAATGGCACACGATTTGCAGAAATTCTAAATGTTTAATTGAAAATGTACAAAAATTTACAAAGTTGCTTTACGTTATTTTAAGTAGCTCAAAAATTTGAAAGACAACATTTGAAAATTTAAATATAGAAAAATTATTTCAAATTTCAAATAATAAAAAAATTTAAATCAAAATTTTTTTTTCTTTTGTTAACTTATTTTAATGTAAATATATAAATTAATCTTGACATTGAACTGATCACTGTTGGTCAGTCTTCGGTTTTGACTTTTTGTTGCTCACACGCACATCATTCTGACCACAAATTCACCAAAAATGCTCTGATAACGCATCTTTTCGCTGATGCGCAGATTTTTTTTTTTTATTTACGTGGTTTCCCTTTCACTCCTTCAAATTACTGATTTTTATTCCTGAACATGATGTGAAAATTGAATATGCGACGCTTTTTGCATAATTATATATTGCGATGAGGAAAGATTTGGTCGCACAGGATTCGACTAAAAAAAGCGCGTCGCAGAAAAAATTAACCAAATTTATTTTTTATCTCGCTGAGCTCTCCGCGCTCTCATATAAAAGAATTACGCGTTGAGTGACTTACGACCTTACAATTGTTTTTATCAGGACGCCCTCATGATGTACAGTCAAGTCTCTAACTCCTGATTTATTGCCATTTTCAGCCCTGGGGTCGCAGAACACGACTGTCAAAATGCAGGTGTTCGAGTTGCTCTGCGCCTTGTGCCTCTTCTCCACCAAAGGACACACACTCGCACTAGACTCGCTCTTTTTCTACACGGTAATATTTAAATTTAATAGCAATTAATAAAAACCAGAATTAATTATACAATCAACTTCAGACGAGTCAAGGAATGCGGTACAGATTTCAGCCCTTGGTTTCTGAGCTTAGGGGGTGCGAAAGTGACCGCTACAGGGCGACGATCGTGGCGTTTGCCAATTGCCTAATTCAAGGGGCAGACTCGCTCATCAACCGGGTCAAACTCAGGAACGAGCTCATTGGTATTTTAATGTTTAAAGATATTTAATTTCGGGAATTCAATTTAAAAAATGTTTTCAGGAGTAAGTTTTGAGGCCGAGATAGCATTGCTGAGGGCGCGAGAGACGGAGCCAGAGTTGAGTGTTCAGATAAATGCTTTTGAGGAAAGTAAAGAAATGGACGAGGAGCAGATGATTCAGTCCGAGGAAATGATGTCTCTATCTCACCACCAACTCTTTCACACTTTGTTTGAAAAAGTATAATATTAATTCAAATTGAAAAAAAAATCAATAAAAATTATTTTTCAACAGGTTGTAGGAACTCCCCAGGCATTCCGACTTCATTCTGTGCTTTTAAATTTAGCCCAAGTGGACACTGCAAGTAGGAAAAGGTATTTAATTTGCTAAGAACCAATCAATTTATTAAATTATTAAAAAAATGTTGCTTCAATTTTTATTAATAAATAATTTAAAAATTAATTATTTTAAGATCATTATTTTTTTATTTTTATTTTAGTGACCTTATGTGGGAATTGCTTGAGGAAGTTTCCTCCAGATCGTTGGACGGATCCCTGCACTGGGCTCAGCGGCGAATGAGTCGACTGCCCTCTCAAGCAAAAAACGCCAGCTCGCAAACCCCGAGGGCGCGCGGTGCCCGTCGGTGGAACATCCGAGCGCCCTGCCGCTCTTCCGCCACTCAAACCAGCAGTTCGACGAAAACTGACACGGTCGAAGAGCCTCAGAGAAAAACGTCCTCCACCCAAACCCCTGTGAGTGAAGAGGCGGTCGACTGCTCCACCCAAACCGCCGCCTCCACTCCTCCGGAGGATCTGGCAACCCCTCCCGTCAGCCCTCCACCCCCGCCGCCTCCGATGCCCATGGACGTGGCTCCAACACCTCCGCCTCCACCACCAATGCAACTACCTCCCCCGCCTCCACCACCGCCGCCTCCAGGTGCAGCAGGAGGACCCCCACCTCCACCACCCTTCCAGGGAACAGGAGGGCCTCCACCGCCCCCGGCTATGAGCATGGCCGAGTACTTTGCATCCCCTACCAGACATTCCCTTCCGGCCACCCTTCCCTCAGGTTGGTGCCCTGACGCCGAGTTGCAGAGGCACAACTCATTGCCACCTTCGAAGAAAAGGCTGAAAACTCTCAACTGGACCAAAATACCTGCCAATAAAAATTTCGGTCAGTTTGATGAGCTAATAAATTTAAACAAATAAAATAATTTTAATATTTCAGAGGACACAGTTTGGAATACAGTTGGTTCTCAGCCGCCGAGTGTGGCAGTGGATTTCCAACAAATGGAAGAACTCTTTTGCCAACGGACAAATTCTCCCGAAGCCCCGACCGCAGCTCCGCTTTCGCCCAAATCGCCCATCCAAGATGTCCACGTCGTAAATGTCCTGGACTCTAAGAGAAGTTTAGGTGTCAATATTTTGTTGAGGCAGTTCAGGGATTTGGGTGTCGAAGGGTTATTGGCTGCCATTCAGGAAGGCAACGGCCGAATCCTGGGTGCGGACAAACTGAGGGGCCTGTTGAGACTTTTGCCAGAACCAGACGAAGTAATATGATTTTTTTTTTTAAATTAATGAAAATTAAAACTTATTTTCAAATTCAGCTGGCAATGATAAAGGCGCATCAGTTGGATGAAAAAATGCGGTTGGGCGATGCTGAAAGTTTCTACCTGCAGCTTAACGAGGTCCCGAGCTTTGCCTTGCGTATACGGGCCATGCTTCAAGTATGCATTAATAAAAAAAATATATATATTGTATTGAAATCATTAAAATATTTATCCTTCAGAGAGAAGAGTTCAGGCCAACTGTGAAGGAGCTGCGACCACAACTCAGTGCAGTGCTCAAAGCATGTGCAACCCTCGTGGACAACTCGTCACTTCGAGATTTCTTGGCCTTAATTCTTCACATAGGGAACATGTTGAATGCTGTAAGTTGATTGTTATTTAAAAATGCTCGGTTTTGCAAAATTTTCTTTAGGGTAGCTACGCAGGAAATGCTGTTGGTTTTAAACTGAGCACTCTGCCGAGACTTCTTGAGACTCGAGCCAACAAGCCGAGAATGACTTTCCTCCACTTCGCCGTCGACCTTGCGAGTAAACAGCCCGGATGCCTCGATTTTGTTTCTGAATTGGACGTGGTGCATGAGGCAGCAAGGTATTGCGTTTTAAACTAGATTTATGTCAGTATCTAAATTATTTGTCTTCAGGGTACCTCTTGAATTAATGGAGGAGGAGGTCCGAGCCTTGAGCTCAGGTGTGCAGCGGCTTGATAAGCAAATCCAGCACGCGCCGGATGACATTAAAATACAATTTTCTGGTAAAAAAAATACAAAAGTCTAAAAATGAAAAGAATTAAAATTTCATTTGCTTAGATTTTTTGAGCGGAGCATTAACAGCTTCAGAGGAGCTCGGCCAACATATGGAGGCGATAAAAGCAGCCAGCACAAGGTTGGCGCGTCATTTTTGCGAAGACGAAGAAAAATTTCAACTGAACGAGTGCTTTTCACTTTTCTCTGATTTTCTAGTTAAAACTCAAAACACTATTAAGGTATAGACGAAAGAAATTTGGAGTTTTTTTTTATACGTAAAATGGGATTTTTTTTAGGAGAACGAGCAGAGGCGAGTTCAAGAAGCAAGAGTGACGACCATGAGGCAACAGTCCCCAGCTCCGAGCAGAGGAATCACAATGAAAAGAACAAGGAGAGGCAGAGGCACTTCAACAGACTCCTCAGACGGCGAGGATTCCTGCGTGGTCGACAAACTCATGCAAGAGATACGAAGCGGCACTTTTAAGCTTCGACGATGCATGCCAGCCTAATGATTTTTTAATATTTGATGTATTTATCATTTATGAGCAGTATAGGCATTGCATGGCAGATTAAGTTTTTTTTTAAAGTGACATGTTTAATTTTTGCATTTAATATATTTTCTGGATATATAATTATTTTCAAAGTCAGGATAATACCTAATATTTTGTGTCCTTCTAATTAAAATCAGTAATTTATAAACCTTCTGCACTTGTATTTTGTGATTAAATTGCCATTTGAATATTGCAAATCCACTGACTAGACTCTTCAGAACCATATAATCAACTTAATTTTTAATTCAACCAATGTTCTCTCAGGAATTATAAATTTAAGGCTACGGGATTGGGCGTCTGCGTATTTTTGTAATTCAAAAATTTTGCTGTTAAAAAAGTTGTAATTTAAATTTTAATACCAAAAATAACATAATTTTGAAAATTTACTCTAATACCGTTTTTCATTTTGCTTGCTGATGGTCTCTTGCAAGAAAATCAAAATCACAGGAACCTCCTTCGCAGTGGGCCGGCATAAGATTTAGCTGCGCACAATTACCCACAATATGGCCGCTCCCTGAGAGGCGCGAAACATTTGAGTTGGGTGAATGCACGTGTTTTTCCATTGCGACAATAATAACCCATGATAACAATTAATCATACCTTTAAATCTGACCAAAACAATGACTTTTGTTGTGCTAATCATGCTTCCCATCATGTGTTGTTGTTTTTGATTGATACTTCATAATACTGCATTTAGGTGGCACATGCGTCAATGCTCACACAGCTGTCGTTTTGTTTGAAAAAAGCGCACCAACAAACCCGGGCCATAGCAAAAAACATGCTAAAAATTAATTAGTCTCATTTTTGTGATCATAAAGCAATGCAGGCATCAATTTCATCTAAGTTAAATATTTTTTTAATATCTGTTTCCCTTTGTTGGACAATAGAACAAAAAGAGACAGATTTTTGTCACTCGGTCAAGCGTAAAACATGTCTCGGCGGCCAAGCTTTTGCCCAACAAACCTTTTTGTTTGCTAGTCAGTTTGATCAAAATAATAAAAATCAGCGTCTTTTTTAAATTACGTTCAATATTAATTGACTTAATGTAAATAATTGTAATAACTTGTGGGTTAAGTATCATAATTTTCGGGAAAAATTCATCTATCGACCTTCTTCTCGTCCAAAATTTGGGGAACCTTTTTGTTATTAAATTGTAATTGAATGGGAACTACTATACCCTCTGTTTTAATTTAAATGAGTGAAGTTCAATAATCAAAAATATTAAATCTCAGTAGGAATGCCTTCTTTTTTTAAAAATTTTTTGCGGTACAAATTATGATTTTTAAATTTTATTTTTATATAAATTGTTCCACTTCTTAATCTTCTAAAACTGAATTATCCATATTAATTTATGATAAAATCTAGAAATCCCATATCCCATTATCCTTTTGAAGACAAGATCTGGAGACAAATTCATCCTGAGACATCTGAATTTGAAAAAATAATTTGAATTTTAAATATAACATATTACCAAATTTTTATTTCAATACACAAAAACATACAATTTAATTAGTGAATAGGCCAAAATATTTTCAGTAAGTTTCGATGACCAAGTGCACCAGATAATTTCCATAAAATTAAGGCTGCAACTTCCTCTTTGGGTTTAAAAAATCAGATTAGTTCCTTGGGTTGGGTTGACAATTGAGGATTCTGTAATGAAAAATTTATTTTTTAAGATTTAATGTTACACAAGATTTATATTTGAAATTTAACCTTTTTCATATTCTGAAGGAGACTGAAATCCTGAAATCTTGTCATAATTTGTGGTCTGGAAGAGTGCCTCGAAGCCGTCGCGCAGCGCCTCCACCTCCACCGGTTTAGCAATGTCCTCAACCAGGAACCAGTTTGTTTTGTGATAACTTGGTTATCAAAAACTTTATTACTGAAAAAATTCAGATATTGTTAAAATTATTGATTATAACAAGCTGCCACATGCCACAGATTTGAAAAGGCTCAAACCTATGAAATGCAGATGAGACATGGTACGGTCTTGTCGGGCTCGGGATTTCGGGAGGCTTGTCGATTCCAAAATAATCGGCGCGGCGTGACTTCTTGAGACACTGCAATTAAAAAATGACACAAAGTAAATATTCTTATAAAACATGATTGATTTCTAGTCCTACTGGCCATGCCAAAAAGTATTATGTAATAAAATTACTTAAATTTGCTGAGAGTTGTCAGCCAGCAGAGTCTTTAAAATTGATACGGACATACCTCTGCAACCAACGTTTGAAAGAAATTAAAAAAAAATAAAACCAGAAAGGCAGGCAGCGGACAAACGGTTAAATATTTTAATAGCAATGAGTTTGACTTATCTGATTATTTGTGTAGTTTGACTGTGTTCGTATTTCGTTCATCGATTTGGATCGCACTTGCGTTGCGTTCTTCATCTCATATCGGCCAAATACGGTAAATTTCATATTAAACCTGCACCCAGCCGCATCAAGCGTGACGTTAACTCGAGATAATACATTTCATCGGACTAAATTTTAATTTAAAAAATGTAAAAAAATGAAATAACACCCAGAAAGCATGAGCTCGCATTTGATCTCGCGATGATCAAAACAAAGAATTGAGAGGCCGTCTCTGATTGGCTCTCTCTGGGAGCGGCCATCTTGATCGCCTGCGCGGCGGGAAACGAAAAATTTCTCCTTATGCTGGCCCACTGCTCCTTCGAAAAAAACATTCTTGGAGAACTGTGCATGAACTTCTGGAGGCAGGAGACACATCTGCACTGCTTCCACACTCTTCATTTTGTCCACCCATACGGTCTGCAGAAAATAATAAACATTTTTACTCCATTTCATTATGAAAATATTAATTTAAAAAAAAAAATCAACAACTTACAAGTTTTGGAAATCGGTCAGCGGGCAGTCGTAGATTTTCTCCTCTGAAGATCACAAATTGCTCGATGCGTTCGAAAAAGGGCCAAATCATGTAGTCCAGCATTCCAGCTGTGTCTCCTCCAAAAAATTCCGACTCCCTTTTTGTCAGCTCAGTCTCATATTTGTCCAGGTTTACTTAGAGCAAATAAAACAACTGCATGTCTGGCTCTGAGCCAGCACAGCTCAACAAAAGCTTGAAGAATGGGTTGATCACCTGTAAATTTTGTTGTCTTTTAGTTATGGCATATTTTTTTGTAATTTGAATTATTCACCGATTTGAATTGCTCAATGAGAAGATGATCTTTGGCTCTATTGAGAGGATTGCAGGACTGCAAAGTTTCCCCTTTAGCTTCTTCCATTCCATCCAAGACTTCAGAAATTGTCAGAGATTCGCAGAAGACTCGGCCATTGTCAAATTCCAAAACAGGCACTTCTTCATTGGGATTCAATTCAATCAGCCACTCAGGTTTTTCAGCGGTATTCACATTAACCACGTCACAACTGTTAGTTATTATTTAAATTTCCAAAGAACTTTTTACTTTTACACTTACTTGATTCCTCTAGCATTTATGACCAGCAAGCACCTTTGAGCAAATGGGCAGAATCGCATTCCATATAAGCGCATGACCCCCTGTTGCAACGCTGGTCGAAGTGAGCCTGCAAAGTTCGAAAAAAGGAAGAATTTACTCCGAGATGTATTAGAATCTATAAAATTAAATACCTTTTGCAAGGTGAAAGGTTTCCTCCATTAGTACAGGTAGATGCAGCAAAGCAAAAAGACAAGACAGCTAGTTTTTCAGTCTTAGTTTTTGGATATGATATAAAAATGCAAAATATTCTGTTTGGAGCGGATAAACCAGGAAACCACATTTAATCTTATATTGCGGTTCAACGATTGACATTGAAATGAATTTTAAGAATAGCTCCATGGCATAAGTAAAAAATATTGCTTAAAAATTAAAAATAGTTTTAGACTTTTACATAGAAAGAGGAGTTTTATTTATTATGAAAGTCTAGATCCTAATATCTAATAAAATATAATCATAATAATTTTGTAAAAAATAATAAATTCAAGATCGAAGGTTCCAACACCAAAAAATAAAATTGTTTTTGCTCACAGCTCAGTCAGCTTCTTCCAACATCTGGTGCAACTATTTTTACAGATTGGACCTCTTGAATCAATTCTAATCTTAAACCTGGGCGTATAAATCTTTTCAATTTTTTCTCGAATTTACGGAGTTGCACAGTTTTAAGGATCAGGTTTTCTGTTACAGTGTCAAAGAATTGCATGATGAATTTGCGCTAAAAGTAAAACTTTTAAGAAAAAATTATACAGTTTTTACCACACCAAACCTTCTTGTTCAAGCCGCAAAAGTAGATTTTGGAATCATGCTCAAGAAATGAGATTGTCGTCTGAATATTATTCATTGTATTAAAATAGTGTATGCCATTTATGTTTGAAGAAAACGAGCATGGAGATTCCACTCGAAGATGGAGAGCAGATTTCTTCATAATAGACAATTCATCAGCTGAGAAATAAAAATAAACATAAATGACAATCTAGTCAATTTTAACTATTAGACGCAAGTTGAATTAGGAAATATCTTACTTATTGTATATATTTGCTCCCCAATGGACAAAGCTGAGACAAATTGTGGTCCAAATGATTCTCGAAATGGCTGCCATGATTGCCACAAGTCTATATCTTCCCTGTATGTCAAAACTGAGTTCTAAGAAAATAATGTATTTGTAAAAACAAGAAAACCCATATTTCTCTAGCCTACCTTATCATCTGAATTTTGAGCAAGATACAAGCGATTTTTGTGCCAGCAGCATCCAAAAGGGTAGTTTATTGGGCCAAAAAGGAAAAGGTCATCACAATCTGTAACTAAGCCTAGGAATTAAAACAGTTTAGAATTTGCTTCCATTAAAATTATTAAATTTACCAGTTTTAACGTCAACTTTTTGAACGGATGACGTAGGAATCCGAAATCTTGACGTTCCTCCTATCAAGTAGAGTTCACTTCCCCTTCTTGCAAGCCCAAAGTGGCGTCTAGGTATGTCTAGTCTAAAATAAATCTTATATTAATGCAAAACAAAATTTGTTTTATGAGTTTTTTTACCTTGCTAAGACTTTCCACTCTTTAGTAAAGATGTTGTAAGACATGACATTTCGGTTCCAATTTGATGTTCTGATGCCATGAATTCCACCACAAATTATCAAATTACCATCTAATTAAGTAGTTATTTGAAAGAGCTATTCGTGCTTACATAAAAAAATAATATGTTACCATAAAATGTAACAGCACATCCATCGGGACATTTTTCAGTAATAATTTTGTCGCCAAAAAATGACTTAGTCTCCATGTGAAAAAAAACAAAGCAGCTCTTCTTCTTGACTTCAATTCTGCTCAATTAAATATTTTAATTAAAAAATTTATTTAATAAAAAAAACCAAAGGAAACATTACTTGTCAAAAACTTGGCATCGAAAGAGAAGGACCAAAGGAGGTGGCGGTCGGGATTCTTTTGCTAAAAGTTCTCGACCTATCCGAGCTTCAGGAGTATCCTCTGGACCACAACTGAAAATCAACACATTTAATTTCAGCAAATTCTGAACTTATATTTTTTACTAGTGAAGAAATTTGAGAAGTGCGGCAAATGATGGAGGACACTTGTTAATGGTCGGAAATCTCAAAACGTGTTTTATTTGTGAGGGCTTCACTTGTGGCCAATCCACAAGGGTTACGAGATCGGGGTACAACTTTCCTCTATTATCCACGTCATGCCTAATCCACCAGATAATAGCCTCAAGAATCTATCAAAATCCAATTAGTATATAAATCAAAAGTATGTAATAAAAAATATTATACATCTTTGGGAAAATCATATATCAGCCTCCTGTCACTGAGGTATGACATTAAATCATGCAAGGACATTTCTTTAAAATTCCTTGTCCTTCTAAATCGTAGGAACCAGAAGAGCATCCTTTCATAGGCTGTTATTCTGAGCTTCTTGCAAGCAACGTCCTCAGCTGCCACATATAATGAGTAGCAATTCTTTGGAGATAATGATTTGATGGCCACTTGCTCATAATTGAACTTCATCTAAATTAAAAAAAAATTAAATACATAAAAAATAACTATTAAAAAATTGCCGAACTATTAGTCTTGTGCAAATGTATAGCATTTCTGCGGTCATTTTTTCAGCCATTGCATTAATGTCACTGTCAGATTGATCATTCACAGGCAGGCACTTCAGAAGAGCATTCAACGTTCTCCAATTCATATCCTTTAATTAAAAATTTAATTTTAAAAAGTTGCAGCGAATAAATTTATTAAAAACAATCATACATGGTTTTCATACATATTTTCGTACATACATACCTGCAATGTTAGATGATCACTGTCTTTCTCAATAAATCCAGAGTGAATTGGTTCAAAAATCGCTTCAAAATATCCACTGCTTTGAACGAGAACGTTCCGATCTGCAGTCAACTTCTTGCCATCGACGTCAAGAGTAACCACACCTGTGGAGCAAAAAGTTTAATAAAATAAAAAGATCTAATTACAGGCCGTTTTTTTACCGGAGTTTTTGCAGTCCATTTTTATAAGGCAACAATTATGGATCCATCAAACTGTGGTACCGCCGTTGATACAAGTTTTTCCTATTTTTTGGGCTTCAGAATTTTGCAATATTTTTTAGGAACATTCAAAAGCACAGATGTAAACAACACCCAATCCAAACAAAGCATCCGATTGGTTCAGAGAAAAGTTCATCGAGTGAATTCGCGCGCTATCTGTGATGCGTCACGCGTACTTTTACGATCATTGTTTCTGCGACAGCGAACTGCGACAACACACAAGACCGACACTTTGCAAGTCTGCCGACCAAGTTTGAGTGCAAGTGTCCTAAATATCAACCGTGCAGCTTTTTATTCAAATTTGGTCTTGTCGGCACGCAGATATAAATGACTATATTAACCACCTGGCGGACCAGATCAATCTCGAGCGAATGCAAAATGTTAATTCCGGCCGTTTGAGCAGGTAAACATTCGTTTTGACCGAGATTCGCGTGCGTCAACAGAGCGTGAGAAAATCATATCGTTTTTATTTGCAGTTCAGAAAGCGGACCACAACATCCACGAATGATCGGCCCCTTTGATGGTTATCGCTGTGCGTGATCGGGGGGTCATCATGGATCGGCTGATCAACTACACGGACATCCTGCTCAGGGTGCCGCCTCTCTTCCTCATGGACATCCTGATGCGTCTCGAGTACGACATTCCGTCAGACAGCCTCAAATCAGCCGCCGACGACAACATCAACTCGCTGAATGATTTCGTCACCCAGCATGAATTTGTCACCCCGAACGACTCGCTCGTCATCAAAACTGTTCTTATTTATTTGCTGAAGCTTTTCATATCCACCTCTGGTATTTCAAATTTTTCAAAATTATCAATTTATTTATCTGAAACAATTTTATATTTTCCAAATTTATTGATTTTTATTTAAATATTTCAGGATGCCTGTTTGCCCTGGGAGTTTTCCTTCTGCCAAAGGTCTACCTGGTCAATGTGTACAAATTCCTCGGCTCAATCGGCATCATGTTCATCTCGTACTGGGCCAACGTGAGCACCATGAAGGCGGTCATCGCCGCCAGGGAGAACAACTATGAAATCAACCCGCGCACCTCCATCCTCCACAGCGTCCTCAGCCTCGACCTGCAAGGCGTGCTTGACTGGAACGAGGCCGCCCTGGCCATTGTCAAGAACTACCTGGTCCAGAGCACCATGGGCCTCGTCTTCCAGCACATCGAACTCGCCCCGACCAATCGACTGATACAGCTGCTGACCATGCCGGCCTTCATGGCGCCCTCGGTGCTCGCCATGTTGCCGGTGCCCGACTACATGCTGCACCACTCACCGGTGTTTGCGGCTCTCTTGCCCCTCGGAAAAATCAAAATGACCTTCTGGTCCAGTGCCGTTCAGGTAAAAAAAGTATTAACAAAAATGAAATAATTTTTCTTGTTAGTAAAAAAAGGAAAATTTTATAAAATTACTTGTAATTATGTTTAATTATAAGTTAAAAATACATTAAATTTTTATAAACATTATTTTTTAAAGTCTCTGAATTTTTGCAAGATTTTTTTCATTTAAATTTTCAATTTCTTTACATTTTAAAATCTAAATTCTGACAAATATTTATTTTGTCAACATTTCAGGTTGGAAACAACATAGTCCAAGGCTACAGGTACGCTCGCCAGTTTGTGAGTGACGTGGGTCTGACTGCCCTGCTCGAGAATGAGTGGGTCAGGTTGCGAGTGCCAACTGTGCTGAGAACGTTTTGGATGTTGAGAGTAGCCGAACATTCGTTCTCCGCGCTTTCCAAGTGCTTCTTTCTCAAAGAGCAAGAAGTGGACTCGTCCAAGTGCTCGTCGGAAACCTTGATGGCTCTGCCGAGGGAGCTGCTGGTGACTGGATGCGAAACGCAGACGGCCGTGCTTGGAATGACGAGCGTTATTTCTTTTCTTTGCCACTATGTCGGCAGTTTTTTTCAGTGGATCTTGCTAACGGAAGACGAGGACGACAGAAGCATTGGTAAAGAATTTTTTTTAAATAAATCCAATTAAGCAATTTAAAGGATGAAAAGTTCAATTGTAAATGCTAAATTTTTATTCCGCTTCAAGATTAAACTTTCGGAAGGAAAAGAAGAAGAAAACAGAATTGAAGATCTAATTATTTAATTTAGCTTCACTGCAGAAAATTCTCAACATATATAATTTAAATCCTTCAGATTGTATTCAATTTTTTAACAGTGTAGTTTAAAAGACTTATTGAATTAAATGATTTTTTTTTAGAAATTTGGAATTAGCTTTATTAGATATTGAAAATTTTTAATTTTTTATATTTTGTCGAAAACTAAAATTATATTTAAAATATTTTGTTAAATTTAAGCTTTTGGATGTTACTAATTTCGCTGATTTCTTCAGGTACTGTTTCTGCAATCCTCTTTTTCATCCTGGCCCTGCAGACGGGACTGACAGGCCTGGACCCCGAGAAGCGCTTCATCCGGCTGTGCAGAAACTTTTGTCTGCTCTTCACCGCCATCCTGCACTTCATCCACAACATAGTGAACCCGCTGCTGATGTCCCTCAGCGCGTCCCACAACCCGGCCAGGCACCGACACGTGCGGGCCCTTTCCGTCTGTGCATTCCTCGTCATATTCCCCGTCGCCCTGCTCATCTACCTGTGGTCGCAGCACACCATGAGCACTTGGCTGCTCGCCGTGTCTGCCTTCAGCGTTGAGGTGATAGTCAAGGTCATCGTCTCGCTGATGATCTACTCGCTATTCCTCGTCGACGCCTACAGATCCACCTTTTGGGAGTCTCTCGACGACTACGTCTACTACATTCGCGCCTTCGGCAACACCGTTGAGTTTTGCTTTGGCATATTCCTCTTTTTCAACGGCGCCTGGATCTTGGTGTTCGAGTCTGGCGGCGCCATCAGGGCCATCATGATGTGCATCCACGCGTACTTTAACATTTGGTGCGAGGCGCGCGCCGGCTGGAGTGTCTTCATCAAGCGAAGGACGGCCGTCAAGAAGATCAACTCGCTGCCCGAAGCCACAGAAGAGCAGCTCGAGAAGTTGGACGACGTCTGTGCCATTTGCTATCAGGAGATGTCCAGCGCAAAGATCACCAGGTGCAGGCACTTTTTCCACGGGGTCTGTCTCAGGAAGTGGCTTTATGTGCAGGTAGGTCCCTTAAAATCACAATTTATGATGATTTTTTTACATGGATTTTTTGTTTGAACAGGACCGGTGTCCGCTTTGCCACGAAATTTTGCATCTAGTGGAGGACGATTACGGATTGGCAGCTGATTCTGATATTGAATTCAACGTAGCAAACGAACAGTTTGATGCCGCAGCAGGTTTTGGCGAGCAGGAAATGCCAAACTAATGACAAAATGGACATTTTTTTGCAATGCTCGGAATTGTGATTTACTTGAATGTAAGATGAAGTGAAGTTTAAATTATTTGCTTGAGAATTTCAAACAGGGTTTTTAAATTTTTTTACTCGGATCATTTTTGTAATTGCACGCGGCTCATTTGTGCTTTGTGAATTTTAAAATTTTGCCCTTATTTTAAATATCCAACGACAAAGATAATGTATTTCAAAGCGTGACTGCTGCACTACTTATCTCTTAAATATAAAACACTTCTACTCGGCTCAATTATAAAACTGTGAACCCTGTGGATACACATTTGTTTCAACACACCAATTGAGACTGACAAACTTTTGAAAGGGTTAATAGATTAGTAACGCTGCTGTATTTAATATGAAGGAAAAGTTGCTGTAAGTTTTAAGTTTGTCCATCGCCATCGGAAGTTGTTACCCAATGTGCTGGTTGGGTGAAAAATTGTTCTGTTCTTTTTATTAAAAATCCAACTGAAAAATAAACGGATAATGTTGAAATACAACTTAAATGTCATATATTATAATTCTAATTTAGCACTAAAGCCATGGAAACTTTCAGTGCTTTCAAAAACTAACCGCTTTTTTCGCAATCTTGATCGTGTGCTGTTTTTCTGACTTATTGCAAAATTTCAAAACAAACTCCACGGACTCAGTGCCCTGTGTCATTCGCTCTTTGATCGATCCACTATAATAGCTCTATAGATAACCCTATGGCGCGTCTAGTTAAATCAACTTTTTTAAGTGCTTTAAAGAATTTAAAAAGTCAAGTTCGAAGATCAAGTTGTGAGCAAAATGTAGAAAAATTTGACGAATTTCCAAATTAAACTAAATAGTTTCAGCGTCATATACAGTACACAAGGATTATCTCCAATTGGTATCTGCTGCCGGCAAGAAGATCGAAGTTGATTTTTTGTGGCTCAGGGATCATTGCAGATGTTCCCAATGCTACAATGCAGCTACCAGCCAGAGATCTTTGCCCTTCCTGTCCATATCAGAAAACATCAGACCACTGTCGTGTGATATATCGTCAGATTTCACCAATTTAATTATCTCTTGTAAGATTAATTTATTATTATTATATTATTTTTTTAATGAAAAATTGCAATTATAATTTTTTTGCAGGGCCCGACGGACATACATCAAGGTATGCGCTAAATTGGCTGTGTGGTCTTTTGGAGCCAAATTTGAGATTTAAAAAATTAAATAAATTATTTGATTTGCGAAAACTGTGGGAGGATGGCAAAAATCCAACCCTACCTAGAATTGATTACGTTGATCTAGTAGAGAAAAAAGAGGAGGCTTCCTTAAAAGAAGCAGTTTTATCTCTTTTAGAGTATGGGATCGCTTCAATTAATAAGGTTTACCAGCAAAGTGAAAATATGAACTGAAATTAATTTCAAAAAAATTTAAAAGGTGCCTTCTACTGTTGAGGCAACGCAGTTGGTCGTTGAAAGGATTGCACCTCCGCAGCAGACTTTTTTCGGAGGCATGTGGGAATTCGGTACAAAAATACATAATGAAGTAGCCAACCACAAGGACACGGCTTACACGAGTGACGCACTCGACCCCCACAACGACTCAACCTACTTTACAGAATCCACAGGGTAATATTTAAAACAGTCTCCCAAAAAATAATTATGCCATGATTTAGGCTTCAAGTTTTCCACTGCCTTGAGAGGTCCAAAAATTGCCGAGGCGGAGCTACCAGATTGGTTGACGGAATGGCAGCAGCAGAATATTTGGCTCAAGATGATCCAAATGCCTTTAAAATTTTGTCCGAAGTAGCAATTGAGTCGGAATACAAGGAGCCTGGAAAACATCACGTCGGCCGCCAACCAGTCATAGTTTTGGATCCGATTACTCAAAGAGTTATGCAAATTAGGTGATAATTTCTATTTTAGATTTTTAAGAATGGGAAGAAATTTATTATCAAATTTCAGGTTTAATTTGTATGACCGCTCGGCTATGTGCACTTTGGACTCCCCAAAAGCTTTCAGAGAATATTATTTGGCTTTGAGAAAACTTTCGAATCTCATGCTCAGCGGTAGATTTGAAATGCAAGTGGAATTAAATAAAGGAAACGTGATAATAATAGACAACTGGCGCGTTCTGCACGGAAGAACAGCGTTCACAGGTCAAAGACACATGACCGGATGTTACGTCGCAAGGTCCGAGTGGCTCAGCCGAGCGCGCCTTCTTGGCTTGATATAATTTTAAGGTTGAAGGGTGTATGGAAAATAAATATGCATGGATATATTATGAAATAGCAATTTCTATTGCAATGAACTTCCAAACAAAATTGGCAGAAATCAATTTTGTGTCTGGTAATTGTGCTAATTTGATGACTCGGTTGGTTATCTCTCGATGATTGGAATGAACAACACAAAAATATATATGAATGACACAACATAATAATGAATAAAAAACTATCTATCGGCTGAAAATGCTGCCAATGTCCGGCTCTCACCAGCTATGCACTTTCCCTATTTCACTATTCTTCGCAAATGCAACTAACGCTGTGGAGGTTTGGGTTTGTTAAGGGTATGGGCAGCGATGGATGCATTTCTTTACATCATGCCTCCCATTCCGCCCATGCCACCCATACCTCCCATTCCACCCATGCCTCCCATACCACCGTCCTTCTCTTCCTTCGGCAGCTCGCAGACGACAGCCTCAGCTGTTGTCAGAAGGGATGCAACTCCAGCAGCGTCAGTCAAGGCTGTCCTCACAACCTAAAACAGATTTATAACAATGTGTTAAATTAATATAGCTAAAATAAATTCTTCGATATAAAATGCATTACATAAAAAAATCTAGAATTAAAAAAATTTAAATTGTTACCTTTGTTGGATCGATGATTCCCTTCTGGATCATGTTGACATACTCGTTGTTCATGGCGTCATAGCCAATTTCAGGTGAAGCGTCCTCAACTTTAGCTACGACAACAGATCCATCGACTCCCGCATTCTTGGCAATAGTGATGCAAGGCATTTTCAGGGCCTTCTTGATGATTTCAATGCCTGTCTGCTGGTCAGGATTTGCAGCCTTCAAAGCGTTCAGGACGGGAATGCACCTAATCAGGGCAGTGCCACCTCCAGGAACAATTCCCTCCTCAACTGCCGCTCGGGTTGCGTTCAGGGCGTCAGTAACTCTGTCCTTCTTCTCGTTGACCTCAACTTCGCTGGAGCCACCGATCTTCAGGAGGGCCACTCCGGAAGACAATCTAGCCAATCGCTCCTGCAGCTTTTCCTTCTCATACTCAGAGGTGGTATTCTCAATTTGATCCTTAATTTGTTCCACCCTGCGGCTTATATCTTCAGCCTTGCCCTTACCCTGATTACAAATTAAAAAAAAAAATATTACTAACATTATTGAAAGAAATGGCAAAAATTGCATACCTTCAGGAAGAGCGTGTCGTCCTTCGTAATGGTAACCTCACCAACAATGCCAAGGTCAGAAACTTGGACCTCTTCCAATTTGACGAGGTTGCTCTCGTCTCCAAAAACAATACCACCGGTAGCAATTGCCATGTCAGTCAGGGTGGCTTTGCGGTTGTCTCCGAAACCGGGAGCTTTCACAGCTGCAACCTGAAGGCCAATCTTCAGCCTAAATTTCACTTCATTAGCAAAATCTCAAAACAATTGGAGGACTGCATACCTATTAACAACAAGAGTGCTGAGAGCTTCACCATCAATGTCTTCAGCAACAATAATCAAAGGCTTTCTTTGCGAGTTGGCCAATTCCAGGGCAGGGATGATGGACTGCACACTTGAGATTTTAGCTTCGCTGAACAACACCAAGCAGTCCTGGTATTCAATTTTGGCTCCTATTAGAAACAGTATAAATTACTTCCAAATGATAATTTTAATAAAAAAATTTACCTTTCGCTGTATTAATGAAGTAAGGTGAAATGTAGCCTCTGTCAAATTTCATTCCCTCAATAACCTCAAGCTCGTCAAGCAATGTCTTTCCATCCTTAACTGTGATTACTCCTTCCTTTCCAACCTACAAACCAAATATGAAATTAATTAAAATCCTATTAGTTATTTAGGAAAATTACCTTCTTCATTGCATTAGAAATTAGGTTTCCAATTTGTGTGTCACCGTTGGCTGAGATTGTGGCAACTTGGGCGATTTCTTCTGGTGAAGTAACAGGCTTGGACATTTTTTTCAAGTTCTCAATGACGGCATCAACAGCAGTCATGACTCCTCTCCTAATCTCAACAGGGTTGGCGCCCTTGCTGATCTTTTCAAAGCCCTCCTTGGCAATTGCTCTGGCCAGAACCGTCGCTGTGGTCGTTCCATCGCCAGCCTCCTCGTTGGTGTTGTTGGCCACGTCCTGCACCAGGCGGGCTCCAATATTCTGGAATTTGTCCTTGAGCTCGATGCCCTTGGCAACAGTAACACCATCCTTGGTGATCTTAGGACTGCCCCACGACTGTTCCAGGATTACATTACGGCCCTGGCGAAAATTATTAAAATTTATTTTTGTTGTTGAAATTTCAACTGGATTATTTCATACTTTAGGTCCCATGGTAACTGCGACGGCATCAGCCAAGACGTCCACACCTTTGAGCATTTCAGCTCGAACATCGGCACCGAAGCGAACATCTTTTGCATACTGACGAACTGCCGAATTCGGGTAAAGCTGACGACGGGCAACTGTTCTCAAAACTGCGGGTAGACGAAACATCTAAAAGGGAAAAAATAAAAATTATACTTTGATTGAATAAACCTCTTTTTATGCTTAATTTAAGGCAGCATCAACTTAATGTCTCAAAACGTGGGGGGGCCTTGCCGATTCCAAGGTTATGTAATTTTTTCACAAATTTACAATAAAAGGCGTCAATTTTGATGGCTTAATTGGTAAAATTACCTTAAATATTTGTTTTAGACCTGGACTTCAAAAGATTTTTTGAGTTTATCTTCGATTTTCGGGCTCTAGAGACTTCGCAGCGAGGACTTCTGAATTCAGTAGCGGTGCAGCCGATCGCACATGGCCAAGAGAACGAATCTATGGCGGCCCCCTGAAAAGCGTACCAACCAATTCTCGTTTCTAGAAAATGCAAAAATGACGCAACGCTCGCTAGAGGGCCGGTAGTTAAAATGCGCATCCGAAAAATCTAGAATATGATGCAATATTCGACGAAACGCTGTAATTTTACTATAAAAAGGCCTTTCATGCAAAAATTAATTAAATTCAATAATTGAAAAATAGATTTTCATTCACGATTTCATTTAAAATAAACGTAAAAAAAGTAAAAAAGCATTTTCTTTGTGTCAAACCGGCTTATGACACGCCCCTTTTTCGTCACTTTGGAGAACACTTTTGCCGAACACGGAGGTCACGCCGGAGATCAATCGAATTTTCCTCTGGTAGTAACTGCTTGACGCCTGTTTTGTGCATTTAACATTCCCCAAAGTCATCTCATCAACGCATAAAATGGTAAATCTTCAATATTATTTTCGCTTTTGTCCTTAAATTAGGTAATAAATTCATGATTGCATGCGACTGCCATGATCACATGGCTATTCAAATATCATTTAATTTTTTTTATTTTTGAGAATGATTCTATTTTAATAATTCATTTGATTTGTTAGGCCCTGGTCGCAAAAAAGCTGCTCCCCCTGTTCGACAGAATTTTGATCCGACGAGCTGAAGCGATCACCAGAACCAAGGGCGGCATCGTCATCCCTGAAAAGGCTCAGGGCAAAGTTCTCCATGGCGAGGTTATCGCTGTTGGTCCAGGAGCCAGAAACAATGTAAGACATTTTTATGAAAGGATTTTTGTACAAATTTTTATGTTACATAATTTAAATTTACAGAAGGGAGTTGTTATCCCTGTTTGCGTCAAAGTCGGAGACAACGTCCTGTTACCTGAATATGGAGGCACAAAGGTTCAGCTGGAGGACGACAAGGAGTACCATTTGTTCAGAGAGTCTGATATCTTAGCCAAGATCGAGTCTTAAATGTCCTCAACAGGAGTGTTGTGCATGAACATTGATCGAGTAGTATCTGATAATTTGCAGCATTTCAAACCATTTTTTGTAATCCACTTCAGAGTGGGAATATTTTTTATGTACTAGTTCGTGAAATTAAAAATTTATCTGTTTTGCCGATTTAAATCACGCTTATTTGCCTTCAACTAATTCCTGATATAGAAACCAAACATTGAAATGTTTTTTGAGAAAATAAATACTAATGAAGAGGGAGACTTCTATAAAAAATCAATTTTTCCCTTATAAAATTTAGCAAATTAATTATTAAAAGTATTTTATTAATAATTTAAAAACTAAAATGGCCCGAATTGAAATTCTAACAAAACCATGATCCATGATTAAATAATTTAATAAATCTCAATCGACATTTGAAAAATCCAAATACGTATTTTTTTTCTAAATAGGTTTATTATTATTTGCTACAGTCTTCAAAAATTAATCGACCTCTTCAATCTTTGGAACAATCACATTCTTTGGTGCAGGTCCAAGATCTTCAATTCCTCTCATCTTTTCCTGCGACGATGTCATCCAGGCAATATTCATGAGCGACTGCAGGTGTAAATAGTATTTTTATCTGTCATAGACAATAATAAAAAAATATTATTACTTTAAATGTTCTGGGTTCCCAAATGGCCAAATTCGACAGAGATTTGCGGTCGAGCATGATGTTTTGCCTCTCCAATGAGCTCAGCAAAAGTTTGCTGGAGAAACCGTGCTCCATGCAGGCACCGTTCAACCGAGTATCCCAAAGCTAGAAATTCAAGACGTATAAACATAATTGAACATTATTATGAAGTTTTAAAGTTTTTCTCGAAATGCATACATTTTTTATGCTTTCTTTGTGCAACTTTCTGTTCTGTGTGTTGTAAACCAAGGCTCTGTGGACATATCGAACTCCAATTCGGAAGCAATTTCTTTTTCTGCCCGTAAAGTGCTGCAAACAAAGCAATATCAATTAACAATATTTAAAAAAATATTTAGGAGACATACAGCTGACATTTTAAAATATTTCCTCTTCCTCCAAAATTTGTCAGGGCCTTTGCAGTTCAAACTTCCAACGAATCTCATGGCAAAGTTCATCATGTTTGACAAAAACACCATTTTAGTATGTTTAAGCTGACAATTAAAAAGGAAAGAGGAGATTTATTAATTCTCAGATCCGGCAAAATTCAGAAAACACGCCTGCTTGCTGATCAGTTGTTTTGACTATTTTCTTAGCTTTCCTGGACCGCCGCTAGGTGTCTCGCAAGGTTCATCGATGAGCACCAGCAGCACAGATGGTGGCCGGCCCTGACTAGCGTAGGGAGTGGTTTCTTGTTTTTAGTTTAGTTTTCTTAGTTTTTCAATAGTTTTGAAAAATGTTTTTCCTCCGAAAATCGTGCCACGTCTCCCTTGAGACTCTTTCCTAAGCGAAAAGAAAGACGACGCCTTCGATTTTCAGCGTGAAAGGTGAGGATTTTATGGAAAAAATTCCAATCTCGCTGCACTTCCTCTTTAATTTGTCACTTCCACAAACTTTTGTTATCAGCGCAAAGACCAGCACTTTCGCGTCTTTGGGAAAAACACAAGCCAAAGAGTTAATTCAAAATTTTAACGTGTTTCCATTCCAGCTGTGTTATTCTTTCAACGAGGAATTTAAAGCCCGAAGATGTCTTTATTCTTCAAGTTCCGAAGCAAAAAGAGCGCCGAGTCGGGAGGGCCGTCGCAAATCGGGTTCCCAACAAACGTTCACCACGAGTGGCATGTCAGTAGGAACCAGCACACAGGCCAACTCGAGGGCCTTCCAGACCAATGGTTGAAACTCATGGACACACAAATTACGTGAGCAAAACAAAATTAATTTTACCCGAGAGTTTCCCTATAAATATTTTATCACCTCGCCACTTCCTTGTAAAATAGTAACGAGGCTTTTAAGAAGGCCTTTGCCTTTTGCTACACATAAAATCACTCACCACAGATAACTTTTTTTGGAGTTAATTTTATGTAATAAAAAAAAAAATGATTTTATTTTCTTTGATTTCAGAAAAGATGAACAGAAAGAGCATCCGGATGCTGCGATTCAGGCGCTGAAGTACTACAATTACTCGATAAAGAAGAAGCCTGGCGACAACAACTTCTTCAAGCCCCTGGTCACGGAAAAGGCAATTGCTGAGGAGTCGGAGGAGATAGAGAAACTGATTAAGCAGCATGGCAAAGACGCGCACCGAAGTGTTGGCTCGGACAACAGCACCTCTTCGGACACAAGCCGAGAGCTTTCTCCGCAACCAGCAGGACAAAATGTGGTACCACCTGTTGCACCACCGAGAAAATCGCCCCGGACAGCCAAGAAGGCAAGTTTTTTTTTTATTCAAAGATAATATAAATTTTTGGTTGTAAAATATGAAATTAATAATTTCATTTTTAGGAGAAGGAGGAACCTTTGTATGACAATATACCGCGGGGTGTGCAGAACATAAAGATTGATAATTCTGAAGCTGAGGCTAAAGAGGTGTCACCAGTAATGGTCCGCAAGAAGGAAAAACCAACCAAACTTACTGACGATGAAATTTTTGCTGAGCTTAAGGCGCTTTGCAACAGTAACGACCCTTACAAGAAGTTCAATTTGAGCAAAGAGCTTGGCTCAGGGTAAGAGCTTTTGAAGTTTTTTTTTTTTTTTAATTTTTAGGATAATATTGAAAATAATTTAAATTATTTAAATTATTCTTTAGAAAAAAATCATTTATTCTTCTTTAACTGTTTGAAAGATGTAAAGGGGATTTAAATTTTTAACAGAGCTTCGGGAACAGTCTTCACAGCCAAAGACGCTCAGCAAAATTCTATCGTGGCCATCAAGGACATCGACATGTCGAAACAGCCCAGGAAGGAGTTGATTCTGAACGAAATCAAAGTGCTCAAAGACTTCAATCATGAGAATCTGGTCAACTTTTTGGACGCCTACTTAGTAAAGGACCATCTTTGGGTTTGTGCCTCAATTTTTTGATTCCGTTCGGATCACTAATGAAAATTTTTAGGTCGTCATGGAGTTGTTGGAGGGAGGGCCTTTGACTGACGTAGTCACCGAAACGGTCATGAAAGAAGGTCAAATTGCTGCCGTGTCCAGAGAAGTCCTCAAAGCTGTCAGCTTTCTGCACTCAAGAGTAAAAACCGGATTTTAAAATTGTGGGATAAATTTATTAAAAATGAAAATTAACTCTAGGGAATAATCCACCGAGACATCAAGTCTGATAACGTCTTGCTGGGTTTGGATGGAACGGTTAAAGTCACAGATTTTGGTTTTTGTGCAAACATCATCGGAGACGAAAAAAGGCAAACCATGGTCGGAACGCCTTATTGGATGGCTCCAGAGGTAAGACTTTTTAAGATACTGATAATTTTCTGCTGGTTTTTATTTGTAGATAATGCAATCTATTTTTATGTAACTAATTGTAAGACGATTTAAATTAAATTAATAATTTTTTACTCCAGGTTGTAACGAGAAAACAGTATGGAAAGAAGGTGGACATTTGGTCCTTAGGAATTATGGCATTCGAGATGATAGAGGGCGAGCCACCCTACTTGAAAGAGACACCCCTCCGAGCATTGTATCTGATTGCTGCTAACGGAAAGCCAAAGATTCCTCGTTGGGACAAACTGACGCCTGCCTTTCAAGTAATTGCCATTCTCTAAAATATTTCATTTTGCTGCAAAGATTTGTCAGAAATATAATTTAAATTGATTTATAGAATATTTATCTAGATTATCTTTAGATTAAAATGTCCTGATTTAATTTATTTTATTCTTTGCAAATTTAAATTATTAATTGTAACTTTTCCCCAGGATTTTCTGAATAGATGTCTTGAGGTAAACGTTGACGACCGGGCAGATGCGGACGAACTCCTCCAGCACAAGTTTTTGACCAACTGCATGAAACTGAGCTCGTTGACTCCGCTGATCCAGGCTGCCCAGAAAATCCTGCGCAAGGGCGCTTACCAACCATCGTGAACATTGTAAAACTGCAATCATTCTGTACACAAAGCCATCATTCAAGTCATGCATTTGTTGTTGTTGTTGATTTAAAGTTCTCTGTTCGCAAATCTGTTACCAATCAACAGTGAGTGATGGGTAAACTATTCCAGTCTTGTGCCTTCCCAATTTTAGCACAATTACCACGTAAGACTATCAATGTATTACTATTTTTCTATAAACTTGTATTTTGCTGTTGTGAACTTGCCTCGAATAATGGCATTTAATTTTGGAACAAAATTTTTTTAAATAGTTTTGTATTGCAAATCAAAAAGGAGAAAAAGCAAATTTATTGGTATTATAGAGCCTCTATTTTGTAAACGGCTTACTTATGTTTCATCTCATTTTCATCTTATATTTCCAGTGATTCCAGACCCATTTTTAATGATTTATTATGGTCGTTGAGAAATAAAATGTCTTGATAAATGATGCGTTTTTATTCCATGAACACAATTTGTCAACGTTTTTGACTCACTTTTGGCACATCAGGGTACATCGGATAAATCACACTCAGTCAGTACAGACATGTTTGCAGAGGTTATACAAGGGCGTAAATATAGAATATCTTTCATCTCCGTTGCAAAGTCTTCTAGATAGGGGGTTTGTTTGGAAGGATTTCTGAAATACACGGTACGTGTTCGCCACAAATGATTTCTAGTGAAAATACTCGTTAAGTATATATTATATTGTCTCCTCGTACATTTTTTTTCTCTCAGTATACTGCTTTTTGTAAGCGTTATGTTTCCTCGTGTTGCGGCGCCCCTTGACACATCTTTCGAAGAGCAAAAGGGCCCCGGCAGCGAATTCTAATCAAATATGAAACGAAAATAAAAGAAAATAAATATTCATTGTTTGCGTCCGTCCGCAATTTTCTTTCGCGCCTTATCGTTTTTCAACAGCCTGCAAATTCTCACGTCAAAGCGAAAGGCGGCTGTTGTGGAAGGTATGCAACCGGGCGGACACAAATGCTTAACAATTAGCCTAGCTTACGCCATTTCCTCGGGATGGTATTTCAGGGAATTTTATGTTTTTTACACTTAAGTGTTTATCGTGTCAGTCGCATAGAATAATTTTCATTTGACATAATCCAGTTTTTTTTTAAAACATCAACAGATAAATATTTTGATTATTCCATCACATAAAAGTGATATTACAACAAACTCCACCAAATATGTTTTTAGTTTTGCCACCCGACATTATAATTTAATTTAATCCCAGGATCATGAATACACATACAACGATCTTTGCAGTTTTTATTGATGATTATTCATCGCGAACGAAAACGGTGGCATTATTATGTTTCTAAAGGTAAATTGGAACAAATTTTTTTTTTGTATTTATAAATGCGTTATGAAATCGATATTAAAATTCAACAGAAAAAACCCCTTTGAATACATTTGAGTATATATCAAAGCATGAGAAAAAAATTATAATTTAATGCTTTAAATAAAAAAGTTTAATAACATAAAATTGTGGTCTGCACTTCGCAGAAACTTAAATTATGCAGAAAAAATATTATGAAGTTTTGAGCATTTTTCATGAATTGGTCTCTTGATTGGTTCAAAATCAGAAACTCGTGCCTAATAATTCACTCTATAATACTTTGACTAGAACTTAATAAATTGGCAAATTAAGAGTCTATGTCTTACTAAAATTAGTTATTAACATTTAACAACGCGCAGGTGCATCCTTAAAGAATTTGGAACTATCATTATGTAAAAAGCAAATAAGGCAGGAACCAAAAATTATTTAACAATCAACAACGACTCCTACTCTAGCCAATAAATTTTTACAACCAGATCAACAAATCACATTACAATAAATTCTTCATCTATTTTCACTCTCGGAAATAGTGCGGCGGCTTAAATTTAATTATTTTATTTAAACTCGAATCTATATCGTCACGTAGAAAATTCATCTTTTTTTATAAATAAACAGCCATCTTGTGAAAATTATTTTGATTTTCATTCAACTCGGACCTGCGAATCGCCTACTTGAACAGGAGACCTTGAGACGAAGGTCCTCAGCTCAGTCAGGTGGTCGATTTGCGGCTGCTGCACGTCGAGTAGCGCGGGTCCAGCCTGCTGCAAGTCGACAGTCTTGGGTCCGATTTGAACACGGTGTGCTGCAGGGTGCGTTTCCACTTGTCCTGAGTGTCGCGCAGCTTCAAAAGCCAAGTTTGCTGAAAAAAAAATTATTTGATTTAAAAAAAGGGATTTATTAATTACTGTGTTTGTTTAAATCTAATAAAAGAAAAATCTTTTTTTAGAATAAAACCATTATTTTAAAATTTAATTTTAGCAAGAAAAAACTAAATTAAATAAATTTTATATTATTCAGAGAAAAACCACAAACCTTTAGTTGATCGTTGGCTGCCTGGAAGGTGTGCACGGCCACAATCTGCTGGAAGCGGTTCAAACTGACTATCACAAAAGCGGCGTCCATGCGACAAGTCCCTCCCTCGGACACGCTCACGTCGTGGATGAAAAATCTGTCCAGGGAGAGCGGCTGTTTGTAGACGATATAGCGCATGGCGGCCGCTTCATTTGGGTTGTTTCCTCGTCCACAGGTACTTGCCCAATTCTCAGTGAGAGACGATTTCTAAAAAGAGTAATAAAATCAATTTTAAGCGTATAATACTAATAGAGAAAAATTATCAAAATAGAGTTCAATTTTCTTTTAACTAGATATTTTGGTTAAAAATTATTAATTGTAGTTTTTTTTTCCAAAAAATTTAACCGAAGAGTTTTCGACAAGATCAATAACAATGTTAGGTTGGAACAAGTGATCTTGAAAGTTGCAAACCTTTTTCGAGAGGCCCTTCTTCCTTCTCGTGATGAGGAGCATGTCATCAAACAAGATGACATACATTTCTGCCGGCTTGCCCGAGTCGAATATTGACAAAGGCCCTTCCATGACGATCTGCCTCCTCGGACTGACAATGATTCGGTCGCAAGGCTGCCGCGCCAAGGCGGGCTTGAGAAATTCAGGGACAAACGTTTTTGGGTCCAACTCTAGAATCGACGGCCAGACGATGTTGCGCTGAATCTCCAGTAACCGCTCAAAGTTCTTCAGCCACTTCATCTTGTCGTCCAACTCTCCTTTGTAGGCCAAAAATTTTTATTTTATGCAGAATATTTTAAGAGTGAAAATTTTTACTTAGAGAGTTCTCCTCACGCTCCAAAATTCGGGCGATTTGGTCTCGCTCCTCGGCCTCTTCGGTCCGGCTTTCAACTTCTTTAAGAATTAGAGGAACTTTCATGATGTGCTGGACAGGCGCCACCAAGAGATCAGTCAGCTGCAGCTTTTTGCACCGCGGGTCTCTATTGCACCACTAAAATTTTTTAAATTAAAAAAATAATAATTAACTAATGGTTAATAATTGATACTTTTTCAAATTCAATAAACTCCATGTGTCGCCGCAACGTTTCCAAATAGTTGAGGGCGTTGATGTAGTTCAGCGCGTAACAGTGATAAGCTTGCGAAACCGAGTCGGCTTTTGTGCTCTGCAAGGATTTTATATTTAATTTTCACCTTTTAATTTCAAATGACAAAAAATCTCAAAAACCTTCTGGAACAATTTGACGAGGACCTCCGTCGTGGACATTTCACCGCCCGTCCCCACGTGTTGCAAAATTAGATTGATGAATTCTTTGCAGAACGCGTAGGTGACCTGCGGTAGGAGTTTCGTTTCAGGCACTTATGTGGGAAACGCGATACGAATTGCAGAGAGAAATTGGATCTGTACTCACCAAGCACAGCTCGTCCAAATTGCCGAAGAGCAACTCGGGTTCGGCGAACATTGCGAACCCTTCCACCTGGATTTTCTTCAACGGCTCCATGAAAACCTAAAAATAAATTTAAATTGCAACGCTTTGTAAAACAAAATTGTAAAAGTTATAGTTAAAAGTGCACAGAAATATGAGATTTTTTTTTTGTTATTTGAAGAAGAGAAAATGCATTAAATCTTTTAATAATTTAATGTTGGAGAGATTAAGGCTCAAATTAAATTCAATGGGTTATTTTTTATCTAGAATTTCTCTTGAACGATGCAAATCGAACCAGATAAAAATTAACTATAAAAGAACAAAAAATTTTAATATGCAATGGTTGATAAGGTGGTAAGGATTACAATTTAAGTAATTTTTGAACGTCATAAAAATGGACTGATATTTAAATAAAAATTAATTCAAAATCAAATTTTCATTCTCTTTTAACTTATAAATAAATTAAATAATTTCATAATAAAATTAATTAATTAATTTTTAGATTTGTTAGTGAAATTTAAAGCGAGTTTAAATCTCCTGACAAAAGCATTTCGCCCTTCTATTGAAACACAAAAGAGAATTGCGAATATTTAGAGCGAAAAATTCCACAAGACTCCATAAAATGAGAAGCGCAAACAAAGGCAGAGTGAGTTGTTAAATTCCAGTCAGCAATTCTGCAAGGGTGCAAATTTCATTTGCACGCCGCTGCGCGCGAGAGCTTTTCAATAATGCAAAGCAGAGAGTGGTAGGCAATTAACATACATTATTGAGCACCATTAGATGATCGTAGAGGAAGGCGCACTCGCTCTGGAACAGGTCCCAGAGGGCCTCCTTGCGTTTGCACTCGTTCCGGCTGACGGTCGACACCGGCGACGCCAGTTGCTCCTTTGAGCCCAACAGGTCCTTCTCGCTCAGGGTTGAGATGAGCGGACTCGGGCGCAGCGGCAACACCCGTTCGGGCAGCGCTTTGTCCAGGCCCTTCCACATGGCGCCCGTCAAGCGCCTCTCGAACGACTTCTCGCTCTGCGTCCGCATCAGACCCACGCGGAACCTGTTGAATATTTACAAGGAGTCGAGTTTGAAATAAATACTGAGTTTTGTGAGTGTGAGTGGCCGGGCTGATAAAAATAAAATATCCCACAAATTTTATTTTTTCAACAATAATGAGCGAATAATTGATAAAAATCGAAAAACAAAAATAAGAAAATTGTACAAAAAAATTATTAAAATTTAAAAAACAAAAAAACTGAGGATTCAGTAGATGCAATTTAATTTTAACTAAAAAGCCTCTAATTTTTTATATTTTCGTTTTAAGTTAAATCATAACATTTATAACTAATAGCAGGACTGAAATTGGTCAATTCAAAATTTTATGTATTTTTCTTCATAAAATTTATTTGCTTCAAAAAGTTCAATTTTGTTTCATATGTAAAATAAAATAAAATAATATCAAATTTAACCTTTTTCTTTTAAATATAAGCCAATATTATTTGAATTTTAGTTCATTTATTTCATTATATGATTGAAATAATTTTTGATTAAATATTTTCTTTAAATATTTGAGAACTATCATTTATACAACATTCACTCACTCCGTTTTTAACTATAATATAAACATTTATGAAATAATTAATATATTAATTGAAGTAGTCATTGCTAGAGAAGATTGTAATGTATGCAAAAGTGCAAATAATTGAAGCCTTTTACTGGTCACGAAATGATTTGTAAAATCTTGATGATTAATAAAATAAATTATCCAAATAAAGCAATCTTTAAAAACCTAAATTTCATAATGATGGTTTAGAAAAAAAAAATCCACGTACCTTCTTTCGAAACCACCTGTTGGCTTGTCAGGCGGCTTCTTCGGAGGTTCAGGTTCCGGTTGCGGCGGGGCAGGACTTGGCACAATTTTGATTTCAGGCTTTTCTGGACTGCCTGGGGAAATGATGGTTGACTCGTTGTTGGAACTGCTGGTGCTGCTTGTGCTTGAAGAGCGTCTTCTAGCGCCGCTTGTTGTGTCCACGTGGACGACAAAATCGGACCAGTTCATGCCTCTGAAGCGCGTCAACTGGTCGTCGTTGAACTCCACCCTTTGGATGCACCCCAGACACTCTTCCAAACCGCAAAATGTTGTCTCGGATTTGCCCCGACTCGAACGGTCAAACTGGAAAATCACAAATTCATCGCGCATTAAAAAAATTAATTTTTTTCTTTTTTAAATAAATAACAACCTGAAAGAATAAGATTGTAAAATAAAATTTATTGATTGAAACACAAAAGATTTAATTGAAAAAGATGATGCTTTAATTTGTTCAAGTTCCAATGATCTATTTAAAATCTCACGATTTACGACGTTCAGGAAATTGCAATTTTTTTCAAATTTAAATCAAATTAGTGTAAATATTGGATGGAAAAACTCACCAACTTCAACAGCGACCAGGTGTTTTTGCTTTTCCTTGCATTATCTGTCGGAACAAGAAGGCGAGATTAATGTTTAATTCCCGAACTCTCGGGGCGAAATACAACACGCTTGCTTCTCATTCAAAAGGTATGAAGAGAGAGAAAGAGAGTTGAAGAAAAACAAACAGCCAAAAGAAGCAAGAGGCCTAAGAAGAAGAAGAAGAAGAATAGGGGGTTTAATTTAAAAGAGGGACAAAAGAAGAAATCTCTCAAGCTCGTTCTCCTTGCGGAGATGAAAACAAAGCGAAAAAATATTGTGTAGAAATAAAAAAAAAATAAATAAATGAGAGGAAGTCTGATTCAAATTACCGGCTTCGGAAACAGCTAGACTAGAGGTGGAGCCGTCAAAATCTGGAAAGCAGAGGCGTCATGATAATATGGAAGAGCAGGAGAACTCCAGTTGTATCAAAAGGGGACAAAAAGCGATTTCTCTCTCAAATTGGAGACGGCGGAATAAAATATATATATATAATTTTGAATCGGGAGGAGACTTGCGGTTGGCATTCATTGAAAATAACAAGCTGCCTATATATTGACTGACTCTCTAACAACCCGCGTGGTTACGTCAATCTGCTTTTTCAAACATATACACAAATATTTATATAAAATAAGTATATATAACACCAGCTTGTGGCCATTTATGTACAATCAGGAAGTGAACTGTAAAGACGCCGGTTCGCTCTATCGGGATGAAGCTCTCTTTTTGTGTGTGTCAGCTCACCCGTGAGGTTGTTACGCTGCGTTAGGACTTTGCTGTAGACCAACAGGTCGCCGGGACAGATTTGCATCGGCGGGATGACCACGATTGAACTGCGGCGCGTTCGAGGCCCGTCCGACCTGCGCAAAAGTGTAAAGTAAGGGTGGAAAAATTCAAAATTGATGATTATTTTACTGATTCTATTTCTTTAAAGAACTGCTTTGAACGTAGGAAATTCAGATATTTTTAAATTTCCTAACAAAATATTTATGTAAATTTTCCACATTTAAACGCGTTTTTAGAAGTGTGTACCTGAAATATCTGAAAATATAAGAACGAAAATACTTTTGAAGAAGTTATTATAGCTGCTAATTTAATTGGTAAAGCACAAATACATCATATTAAATATTTTATCGAGGCACACTTGGAGGGATGGAATATTTTTTATTTGGAATATTTTGGACAAATCTCTGCGGTGCCATTTTGTCAAATGATTAAATTTTCCCCTTCCAACAATTCAAATTTAATTTTTTCTTTAAATTTCTAGCTATCCAGATATTTAAACAACAAAAAATAATTTTATTGTAATTATTTAATTTATTGATTTAAAATTAAATTTTTTCCCTTTAATAATAAAATATTTTAAGTTTCTTCATATCTTAATGTGATTTGTTTCTTACTTTCAGAATTATTATTATTATTATTTTTTTTTTTAACTCAAAAACCATCACAAATTTTTTACATATGAACTAGCAAATGAGTTTACCTAATTAGGGAAATTTGGGTAAATTTTGCATAACTCACCCTGTGGAGAGTTTTCGCTCGCTTTCGCTGTTATTCCCAGAGTTCTCGTCCTCAGCCATCAACTTGGGCGGCACCAGGGCCCGTCGACGCGCCAGGGCAGAGGCGGGTGGGGTGGTGGCCTCCGAGTTTTCCGCCTCCGCCTCTTGTGTTCGCCGCCGCCTGGCAAGCGGAGGCGGACTGATGCTGCTCTCGCGTCTGCTGGCCAGCGTGTCAACTTCGCTGCTCCGCGACATCCGCGGTTGGAAAACTTCTTCATTCGACTCCTGCAAAAATTATTTTAAATAATTATTATTCAATCAATATATTTAATGATTAGAAAGATGTGTTTCTAAAAATTTCTAAATTTTTGGTGTTCATTCGCTGGTATTTTTTTCTGAATGTCAATTTTTAATAAATTTTGAGTTATTATTTGAAAGTTGACAAATGTTTATTCGCATGACACTGTTTGAAAAAATTGCAACCTAACGTTGTAACCCTTTTCCCATTTCCCACCAAAAGCAATAGAATCTCCGAGTCAATTATTCAGAATTTTGTTAACATAATAAAATTTATTGAAATCAGGACAATATTCCTTTGAGATCAAACTCATTTGGGGGAAAATTGGCCCCTCGGGTGCAAATTTTTTATCCCAATTTTCGATTCAGTCATGAAATATTGTCAACTTTTTAATAAAAAAAAAAAAAATGAAAAAAAAATACTGGCGGACTCCCTTATATTTTTTATTTATGTTCCAGTATTATTATGTTATTTTTGTCTTTTGTTTGGGCCAAGAATTTTTCTGCCATATTGAATGTTTGTCAATAGATTGTCCAACAGAAATATCACATTTCCCAATACATTTTTCATTTCCAATTCTCTGGTTTTTGTATTTCCCAAGAAAGTCCAACGGGCAAAAATCATTTACCTCTGCCGTCTGCACATTCGGCGATGGAAGATTCATGTAATGCGACCCGCCAGGCTCGCGGCTACCATCTCTGCTTCTGACGAGACCTACAAGAAAATTGGAAAGGCGCCTTCTTTAATAATTCCGCAAGCTTTGCGCTGCGAAGAGCGAAAACTTTTGTTCAAATCAAAAGTTAGTTGGGCGCTCAAAAAATTAATTATCTTCTTTTGAGCAAAGGTCAGATTTTGATTAGCTCATGCGCGTTCATGCAGTTTTGCACATAAAAAGCTGTGAAAAAATCAATATGCAGCTCGCAAGAGGCGGCCTTGGCTTGTTATACAACATTTAATTAACGTATAGTGCAATATCCTATAGGGTGGATTAAGTACGAGCAGGCATGCATAATATTTAAATCTAAAATAGTGAGCATTGTGCCTATTGGGGAAATTCTCATTTATAGAGAGAGCAAGATTTTTCTAATTATTTTTTTGTTTTAAATGAAAATAAAATGATACCGCAAGTGATTTTTCTCAATAACTAATTTAAGTCCACATATCGCATCCGGCAATACTTCTTTGAAGGTTTAAATATTATTAACTTTTTATTTGTGAATAATTAATTTTATTTTAATTTTGACGAAAACCCCATACTTACTAATTCTGCTCTTTAAATCAATGAGATATCACTTCTTTAATTATAAAAAAGTACAGTCAGGTCAAATAAAAATATTAAAGTTTCTTTAATTTTTAAGCAAAACATAACTTAAAAATTACAAATGATACAACTAATTTTCCTGATCCAATAAGGACAATTATTATAGGTAAATGACCTTAATTCAAATTAATAATAATGCAGAATGTATAAATTTATTTTCTTCGTATGGTGAATAATATGTTTTTTATCAGTGCTTATTTTTTTCTTTAATAACACTTGCAAAATCGAAAATTTCAACTAGGATTGATTTTTTTAAATAAAAATTTAGAATTAAATAATTTTAATTGAATTTGAATTTTCAAATCTGCTACGAAATATTAAAAATATCCTTATAATGATTGGCAATAAAATTGCTTTTGAATGGAAAACTGAAGTACTGATGGAGTAGGCAGATTTGAATACCACAAAAATTCCTTTTACGTGTGCCGATGACTATGCAAATGATGAGTATTTGCAAATCTTGAACTTAAAACATCTCGTTGCCAATAACGATGCGTTATTTGTGCTATTCCACAAGAGTGCCCTGAGGCGGAAAGTGAGATAGATTTTTTTGGAGGCGCATCTCGGTCCAGCTCCCGGAGCACTCGTCGAGCCTCTCCCAGAGAGTTTCTCCAACACTCCAAACACCAATTTATTCCTTATTCTGCCGCCAGCAGCCGAGCACTTGGCGCTCACCCTCAAACACAGCCTGCATTTTCCTCTGCCATCGCCGCGGCAAATCACATTTTGACATTTTCTCGTCAGCACACACACGCCTAGCCGTGTTTTCTTTCTCGCGAATACACACACGACGCTTCTTATCACCCATCGACCCCTGCCAACCACCCAGCCGCGATAAAGTAATTCCGAGAGCAGGGTCGAAAGGAAAAAGGCGACCCTATGGGGAAAATATTTGACATCAGCAATAATTACAGTTTGGCTAAAAGAAACGGATCAATTTATTAAAGCAATCGATAGTGAAAAAGATATTTTATTCTTTTGAAGATATATTTTTTTTGATAAATTTGATTTATAATTAATAAAAAATCCTATATGATGTAGTTTTTGTTTGTGTGTGTGAAATATTTTGTTGTGAGTTTTACTTGTTTCTTCTCAATATTAAAAAATTTACCTCCCGAATCATCTATGCAAAGGGCCGAAAGAGCGAAAGAGAGTTAATTTTGAAAAATCTTTTACACTTTGAGTACAGGAGATAAAAATTTTTTGAGGAAGCCCGATTTTAAAGATAATTTTATCCAAAATGAACATTAATTAGGCAAATAAAAATAAAAAATTGTTTTCCTGCATATTTTCTTAACCAAGTCCCTATATTTTTACTGTATAACGTTTTCACTGACGTAAAACACAAATGGGCACATAACATGACACATTGAAGACCCACATATGTATAAATGTTTTATTTTCTTGGGAAACTGCTCAAGGAGAAGTAAGCAAACAAACAGAGCGAAATCATTCAACAAAGAAAGGTAACCCAATAAAGTTTGCAGTAAACAGAAAGAGGCAAATAATATAAACAGAGCAAGGAAAAGAGCACAGAAGTGGAAGAGTGCCTGCCATTTCAGGCACCGGCGCGCTATAACAAATAATAATCCAATTTGGACGCAGCACAACATATGAAATTTACCATTCAACACAAGTAGCACTTATCGCAGCGAAAAGGGCCGAGTGAGCACACGTGCCTTATCAAAATTGCAAGTTCAATGAACGCAACAAGAATTCTTGCCTTTAATTCTCAGCAAAAAGAGAATTTTATATTTCATTTCAGATCCTAATGCTATAATTCTTACAAAAATTATGAGTGTTATTCAAGTTTTATTTTTTTTTGAGAAAATTTTGATCAGTCTCGTTAATTTTTGTCCTAAAAAGTAATCTAAAAAATTAAGCATTTTATAAAGTTTCCAAATCCTATTATATTTAATTCTTGTTTCTGGAAAAATTTCTGCATGCAATTAAGATAAGCAGGCGTCCACAGCGACAAAATTGCAAAACATATATTTAAAAAGACTAGAATAGAGAAAATTTATACGTAAAATATAAATATTTTCTGATCATTCGCTCACGTGGTTGCATAATATCTGCACATTCAACTATAGAGACAGAGAGACGGAGACACCGATTCGAGAAGAAGTCTATGGGATCGAGCGGCGGCGACTCGAGTACCTCGGCTCATGATCGTTAAGCGGTTTTCGTCGTGGACGGAAGTACTGGTTTGGTGGCAACAGAAATGGCACGGCGGGTCCGCGTCTGGATAGCTCAAGTCTGACAGGTGCTCCACGCCCATCTCCGGCTCCGAGTTCAGCTTGCTCTGCAGCACAGCTTTTCCAACAGAAATTCACACAAAAATATTCACATTTGCATCAACATTATATTCAGATGTCGCACAGCATCACCGTAACTGGGATGCATTGTTGAAACTTGTTCTCAATATGATTTGGAAGGATTTTTAAGTTTTTATGAAAAATTATACATGATTAAAAACTTTTTTGAATATATAATAATACTAGTTTTTGCTTGAAAATAAAAATAATTTAATTAAATAATATCCTTAGATTTTTTTAAGCTTAAGTTAATTATTTAAAAAATAATTAAATATTAATATTTATTGTAATTAATTTCCTTTTAAAAGGAAAAGCTGATGTTCTTGGCCAAAGTCTACCTAAATTTAAGTCGCGTAATCTGAAAATATTTCACAAAAATTTGCTGTGAAATGCTACGTTAAGGTGGTCTTGGTAAGATTTGTTTAGTAGCTATCAATGGTTTTTTAAATTACTTTCCATAATCACAGAAAAATCACATTATATTCCTCCACACTGAAGTCTCTTCACAAGTCTAATTTTGTATCATAATTTCAATTATTTCCCACTTAAAACAAAAGTGAGTAATATAAAAATTGGAAAAACTGGTATGTTAAAAATTACAATCACGACATTCCACAGAAAACGTCCGTTAATATAATGAATATAATTGATTATATAATATAATATAATTAATATAATTGAAATTAGGCTTAAAAAATGGCTAACAAAATTTAATTTAAAATTCCAAATTTTTACCAACATCCTAGCAAACTGAGCTAAAAGTTGTAAATTGTGTTTTGGTTTTTGCCTTGTCAGTGTTTAGTCCGCACTCATTTAAATTTATAATGTCTCATGTTAATAATTTCATGTTGTGTATTTTCCAGTTAAAGTAAAAAAAATGTATTTTGTAGATTTCTCAGGATTGTTAATGTGTAATTTAATATCAGCGTTTGCATTCCCGTAATTTCAAAGAGTTTGCAATGTCTCATGTTTGTTTTTCATTGGATTTTTCTGTTTAATGTTACAAAACAAAACAAAAAATTATGTAGATTTCGCCTGAAACGTTGCATAATTTTGAAGTATTTTCATAGTTATCTACTTTGACGATTTATCAAAATTAGAGCCTTAAGTTTGTATACTAAATAAAACTTCATAATCGATGAGAATTTTGGAAATTTTAATAACAGAAATTGCAATTGTTCTAAATAATCAAAACTTATTCATGTAAATTTGAGCTCTTTTCAATAATGAATTTCTAATAACACAACAAAATCTATGATTAATTGAAGGAAGAGAATAATTTGCGCAAAAAATTACTGCGTGTGAGCCGCAAACTGATGCTTTGGATGGAAACACCTGGGAACGAACAGTTTATTTTTGCTCTTGCCAGAGTTATTGTTTGAAATTCCAGTTTCCTCGGCAAAACAATGGAATTATTTAGAAAACGGCTCTTCGTGCTCACAAACATGCACGCACGCTACAAATGAAAAGCAAACATCTCTGCGTCGGATCGTTGGTGGCAAATGTTTGCACACATGTGCCTGATATTACGCACACGCTGTTCTGCCGGCGAGAATTGCTCTCGCTTCCAGAGAGACTAATTTCGCGCAAAAAACTAAAAGCACTCATCGGATTCCACCATCTAAAAGTGGAGCACTGTGAATTTGCTGACAATCACACAGAGCCTTTCGCTGTCGACAAACGCCATTGTATCGCTTATAATCTATTAAACAAATATTGGAGGAAGTCCAATATCAAACAATATAAAATAGGATTACCTGCAGTAGTGAATTTCTGAAAAATTTAGCAAATGATTAAAATAAAATGCATTCTTTTAAGGGAGCATTTAATTATTCAACTGAAAAATAAGTGCAATTATAAATTTGAGATTAGAAAAAATGTAAAATTCTACATTGTATAAAAAAAAAATCACATCTGAAAAAGTGCAAAGAATTTGAAAATTTATAACAACATATTTTGAACTAGAATGACACAATTTCCAAAGAAACATTGTCCTTAGCCTGAATGAGCTTTGTGTCAAATTACAATAAATTGAAAACATCTTTTTCACTACTCAATTTATGAGTTATTTTAAGTCCTCTCCTTAAGATCTTTAAATTTAAAATCAAAATTATTTTATCAGCTTTATGAGCCAAAAAGCTTGGACACAAAAACTAAATCTGTTTAAAACTTAAGCGCCAAATCAGTTCATACGGTTTTTCTAGTTGCTCTTTAAAGCTCTTTAAATTAATAATGGAGTGCACAATTTTCAACACGTTCTAAAATTCACATAAAACACTTCTTGAATCTGGTCTCCTTTGTTTGCCCACAAACTTTTTAATTTCATTTTCGGCCTAATGGAAGAATGAAGAATATTTAAAGGTGAAAAGAGCTTTTATTCTAAATTTATTACCAGCGTGGGTGGCGCAAAAATCCAACAGGGAAGAGTAGCACTTTCGCCAATTTCTCCATCGAGGCCTTACAGATTAAAGGTGGTAAAATAATGACTCGCTTAAAAGAAATTTTCTGAGACTTAGTTCAAAGAGGCAACGCGCATCGTTTTAACAAAAATATTCATGAAATTTACAAAAAAAAAAATGGTTTTTTTTCCGGTCCAATTATCATAGATCTAACTCATTGACTTCTAGATTTTGAAATAAAGATTGACTTCTGGAGTTCTCACTCCGACTCTGCGATCTTTTTTCAGTTTATTTTTTATTTGTATTCATGCGAGAGTAGGAATTTTTAATACCAAAAAAGCACGACTCTGAAATTTGAACCCTTGAGAAGCCGTTTTCTTCAATCATTTCCTTTTATTATTAAAATTGATTTTTTTTTTATTTTCAATAAGATTTTCAAAAGGTTTCTTCCGAGAACGAGACTATATTGAGAATCAGCAGAACGACTTTCCTGGTGCTAAACGCTCTCCTCCACTATTCAGTGCGTCTCTCGCTGCTCATTATTAGAAGTTAAATGAGAAAAGTTTTATAATAAAGGAGAAGTAATTAATTTCTTGGGATATACTATGGTATTGGGAAAAACCAATCGATCAATACAAATACAAATAGGGGAAAGCTTAGAAGCAATTAATTCACTATGTATTCAATCTGCATCAAAAACGTTTTTGAAAAATGAGAAAAATAATTTGTATTTCACAAACTCGAAATAGGAAATTCTAAATATATAAAATTTTGTGGAATATATTCAAATATTATTCCTCGATGGAAGATAATAAGAATTAAAATGATCAATTTTCAAATCTCTAGATTTCTCAAAAGCATGGAATTATTGTCCGTGAATTTTCAATACTTTTCATTAAGATCGCCATCAGTCTGTTGGATGATTGGATAATTATAAAATCCGCAGGTCAGTTTTATATATTTTGTCTAGTTCATGTAGAAACTTCCAATTGATTTTCCTTATTAATCTACGTATTGTTGATTTGCCTAATTATCGTGGCTTTTTTAGTTTTCAATTTAATAATGTCGTCGGAAAAATTTTTAAAATGAAATATTTGTATTTTCCAGTAAAACAATATAATGATGAACTTCAAAGATATGATTTTGGCGTTTAATGCTTTGGCCCTTTTTAATTTTGCAACAATCAAGATCAATTCGCGAGCCGCAACAAACACGGCTGAGCGGCCTCGTTGCTGCAGCATTCAAATGGGAAATGTCAAAGGGCAAACGCAGCAGAGGTGCCGTGGTGGAAGTGCGCAATTTAAGTCGGCAAATCCCTGATCAACTCGACGCGCGCCGACCCGAAATACACATCAGATCCGATGTAATCCCAATTCCCCAAACAAGTGCAAATCCCCCCACGGCAAAATCTAACTGCTGCTGAAAGTTAGTTGCCCCCGCAAAACACGGCCACCCTCGGCGAATTAAAATTCTTATTATTAAATTCAGCGCCTAATCTACCTTAATGCTCTTTGACAAATGAAATATGGGTTACTTTCGCGGCAAACAAGGAAAGCTCTCGGAAAATAAAAGAAAACTTTGTGCCGGTTTGTTAACCTCCTGTCTCAACTTTTTATCAAAAAATAAACGCAAGATTGCGGCGCGCTTGAAGTGCAGCAGGGCCAGGGGAGGAAGAAGTTTCGTTTCCTGTTTGCTTGCTTGACAAAGGGGCGCAAACTTTGTATGCATGGCAAAACTTTTAATGGAGAAATATCTTGTTTTCTCGAAAAAATACAAACAAAAAGGAAAGGGTATTATAAAATCATGAGCCTCTTGAATATTTAAACTTGAGTGTTTCCAGTCTTGCTAATTTTGCTAAAATGTTCATGAAAGCCTTAATAATGAGTGCAATAAATATTTACTGATTTTCACACTTACATCCTTTTTTGATTTTGCAAAACTTGATGAATTTGTTTGTGTTTGCGTGTCAAGGGTAAAAATTATTTTGGGAAATTAATTAATTTCTCTTAATAACTTTCCTGTTGGTCGCATTATTAACATACAAATCGATTTTATTAGTTAATGCATGCAGTGGGATCCAAGTCATCACTTTTCAATTGACGTCGTGCCAATGTGAGGAACAATGTCATTATAATTAGCAAGTGAGCACGCGTGTTACGTCACAACTAATAAATAAGCCCATTCACAATGAACGAGGTCGCAATCCGCGTCGGCGCGATTACCCAAAATAAACACGATTTCGTCCGTGGCCCATAGCGTTCAAACTGGAGACAAATATAAATTTCATGGAACGATTTACTTTACTTTTTATTTATTTTCAATTAATAATTTTTTTACATAGAAATAAAAAGTACTTTCAAAAAAATACTGAAGTGAGAGTTCATCAAAGGGGCAACTTTTCTGCGAAAAGCATTTATTGAACCTTGAGTGATCCGTCTTTGTTGCTAAATTATTAAATCCAACTAAATTAAGCAAGTTTGATTTATTCTTGACATTCACAACAACATTTTCAAGGTTCAAAAGCTTTTGGCGGGAAAAGATCAACCCTCGTTTCAAGCCTTTGAGCAGTGCGGATTATTTGATCACGTTCTCGATTTAA